TTTTGGTGAGAATTTTCCAGAAAAAAAGTTATTCGTGATGGAATTTAAGCGTGATAGAGTGATTTCTTTATATTTGACTGGAAAACCGCAAGTGGCTATCGAAAGAGCACTCCAGCATTTAAATGTGAATAAATTTTTTGTGACTCGTACAATCGCTCTTTACCTTGATACTGGTAGCGTAGCCCGACGTCAAGGAAGTGGACGGAAGAAAACAGCAACATCAGCAGAAATGATTCGATGATTCGATCAGCAGAAATGATTCGCGTCGCAGTGACGCAGTGGTAAAGCCATTGAAATTCCAAAAAGTGCAAGAACTTACACCGCACCCCAACGGAAAGAAAATAGACTCAAAAGAGCTAAAAAGTTGCTTCGCTTGGCCGAAAGTGGTGAACTGCCGAATTTGGTTTTCTCCGTCTCCGATGAGAAAACATTCGTTGTCCAGCTGTTTACAAACAAAATGATCGCCAAAGAGGTCAGCTAAAAATGTGCACCTTCGAAATGCCGAATATTATCGCGAAAATATTATGGTGGGTGTATTAAAGCCTTGGGTACGCAAACATTTTGGCCGCAGACCTTGAACATTCCAACAGGGCTCAGCACCATCGCACTCGACACGCGCCACCCAAGAATTGCTACAAAATGTGGTTCCGGATACCGATCCGTTGGACTATTATGTCTGGAGTATTTTGAAAAGCAAGGTTGGCACTAAAAAATACCAAAGTGTCGATCACCTCAAGCAAGCGTTTCGCCGGGAATACCGCCAAAATACCGCAGAGCAACACTCGGGCACGTGTGACGGTTTCATTGGCCGTTGGAAACACATAATTCGTGCCAAAGGTGACCAATTCGAACAAATCTTAACTAATTCTAAAATTTGATGCTATTTCGACATCTTTTGCTTTAATTCAATAAAATTTAAAAAAAAAAAATGTAAAAATTATGGTGTTTGACTTTGTTGCAGTTTTTTTATCTCACCCTGTATATCGGTACCTCTCAATATTCGGTATTTTGATGATTGTAGCCACATTTTTCAATGGAATGATCTGAAAATTCGCACAAGGAGTTCTTTGTGGGTACTATATAGGTTTATGATATCGTATAGCTCCCATATAACGGTACTCCCGATATTCGGTATTTTGTTGATTTTCGCGACATATTTGACCGGAATTGTTTCAAATTTCGTATTTAAATCTCGTAATGGATACTACAGCCTATGATATATAGCCCACATATAACGGTACTTCCCTTATTCGGTGTTTTGTTGATATTAGCGACATTATTCAAACGATTTGTTTCAAATTTTGTATTTAAAGTTCGGAATCGGTACTACAGCCTAATACAAATAATTACTTATGCAGGACCTCGTCTTCATATAGCTCCCATCTAATGGTTTTCATTTAAGCGGTATTTTTTCGACGTTTTTTTTTTAATTTTTCAAGATTCTTAAAAGTGGTGGAGTTCGACCCGGCTGAACTTAGCTGCTTTTTTCTTGTTTTTGCTTGGTTGTTTATGTCAATCTTTGGTATTGTTATATGGGTGGTAGGTCTTAGCAATTTTTCTGAATTCAGAGCGTAGAAATCCATTTTAAAATTGACATTCTCCCCCCTCTTCTATTCAACCTGAAGTATTGCTGTATGTGTGGCAGGTCTTAAGATGAGAGTACATAAAAAGCTTTTTTGACTGGCTTAAATCATCGCCTGGCTTCTTCGTAGAGGAATAACGGAGTTTTAGGTTGATTTAGTTCGATTTTGGCCGTATGCTCCTTTGTTTTTTTCCGAAGAAGCCAGCCAATGACCTAAGCCAGTCAAAAAAAAAAAAAAAACATTTTATGTATTCTCACCTTTTGTTGTTTTTCTCAATGCCGAGCGAAAAAACCCATTTTATAATTTATATTCTTCTCCTTCTTCCATACAACCTGAAGTTGAGACCCTATAAGATTTTCTTCAAATCGGAATACGATTCCAATTCGATTGGTCATGACATCGTACAAAATTCAAAAATCCTTCCAATAGCACAAAATTAGTGTCTGTCCCTGCTGTCGCCACGAACAGACAACTACAACAAGTGTGGCACGCTTGACTCAAACTAAATGCTGCATTAAATTGTTTCAATTAAAAAGTAAACTTCCAGGCCGTTAATAAAAACGCATGTCACTTTATTTTTTTTAATTAAATTATAAAAGTCAAGCGTGTGTGCTGAAAGAGAAAAGAGAGAGAGAGAGAGTGAAACAACAATTGTTCAATGTTTGTTTGTGAAATCAAAAATATAAATTGAAATCCTGGACTCATATTGAGAATTCTATAATATCCCCAATGTTCCCAAATATTCAAAATTTATGGAATTTTTTTTTAAATCATAATATTCAGATCTTGTCCAAACAAAACAAATCCGCCTAGAACTGCTATAAATTAATGACAAACTGACAAATTATTTAAAAATAACAGCTGTCATCATGGGTTGCTATCAGGCCGAGTGTGTAAGTCAGAGACAGGCTTGTTTCAAAATGAAATAAGGAAACGGTTGCGAAATTCCCTAAAGATTCGTCAACAGATAATATTTAATTAAGAAACATTTCTGGTAATTAAATAAAGGCTTCGTTATGTTCGAAAAAAAAAATGAAAAAATAAAAAAAATATCTGGTTATTAAGGAAGTAGAAGATTTTCGATGCAGATAAATATATTTGAAAATGAAAATCATTGTCGAAAAATAAGGAAAATATTGATTCAAATTAAGTAATTTTTGTGGCTTAAATTTAATTGGTTTGCAAAACCAGAAAATAAAGAATATTTGTTGACTATTCAAAATATTTAACCTCAAGGACTAATATGGAGAAGTAGAGGGAAATATTTACTCTCAATTTATACTAAAAACATTATCCCACAATTATTAATACCATATCGGGACCATTAATCTGTCAAGAAAATTCAGTAGCAAAACGGAATAGCTTACACTGATAGACCACTTCCATGCTCAGAAAACCAAAGGCAGATAAATGAGTCCTTTCTGAATCCATGCTGAACTATTCAAATCTAAACAAATCACTCAAATATAAAAGTGAAAAATTGAAAGTTTCAAAATAGTGGTCAACATTTATAAACTGATGAAAATACAAACTTGTACGACCGTACAACAAAAACAACAACAAATTAATTTATTTCATTGAAACGCTTTTGCATCATCAGCAAAAGGTCTAAGAGTGCAGAGTGTCAATTATAAGCTAATCTCTTGTTTATAAATGGAAACGAGGGTCATATGAGAATTAGAGGAAAATGAATACCTCTGCATTCGATTTTAGTTCTTAATTTAAAGTTCAATTGAAAATTGAAAGGAATTCAATGTCAAATATTTTGTTGGGCTAAACAGAATCTTCTCAGAGAATCGTCTTAAGATTCTGAATACAAACTAAATTCCATTCCTCAATAATAGAATAGAGACTGAAGAAGACTCGCCTTGTAAGACATTCTTAAAATTGAAACTCTTCTTTCAACCCGCCTCGAAAGACTGCCTTCAAAAAGCCTCGCAAGTCTGCCTTCAACTCGCCTAAAAAGACTGCCTTCAACTCGACTAAGAAGAATGCCTTTAACTCGCCTCTAAAAACTGCCTTGAACTCGCCGCAAAAGACTTCCTTAACTAGCCTCTCAAGACTCCCTTCAACCCACCTCGAGAGACTCCCTTCAACTCTCCTCAAAATTCTCCCTTTATTCTTCGACTCGCCTCGAAAGACTTCGTTCAGCTCGTATATAGACTAATGAATAAGATGCCCTTTAAGTTTAAGATGAAGACCCTTCAACTCGTCTAAAAGACTCCCATGAACCCACCTCGAAAGACTCCCTTCAACTCGCTTCGAAAGACCCCTTTAACTCGTCTCGAAGAACTCCCTTCAACTCGTCTAGAAAACCCCGCTTCTACTCGTCTAGAGAGACTCGCTTCAACTCGTCTCGAAAGATTCGCTTCAAATACGTCTCGAAAGACTCCCTTTCAGCTCGTCTATAGAGACTCCCTTTCAGCTCGTCTGAAAGGACTCCCTTTTAGGTTGTCTATAAAGAGACTCCCTTTCAGCTCGTTTATAAAGACTCCATTTCAGCACGGCTATAAAGACTCCCTTTCAGCACGGCTATAAAGACTCCCTTTCAGCTCGTCTGAAAGGACTCCCTTTTAGGTTGTCTATAAAGAGACTCCCTTCAGCTCGTCTAGAAAGACTCCCTTTAACTCGTCTACAAAAGACTCACATTCAGCTCGTCCAAAAAGGCTCCCTTTCAGGTCGTCTACAATGAGATTCCCTTCAGCTCGTCTAGAAAGACTCTCCTTAGCTCGTCTACAAAAGACTCGTCTATAAAGACTCCCTTGCAGCTCGTCTATAAAGACTCCCTTGCAGCTCGTCTATAAAGACTGCCTTGCAGATCGTCTATAAAGACTCCCTTGCAGCTCGTCAATAAAGACTCCCTTGCAGCTCGTCAATAAAGACTCCTTTGCAGCTCGTCTATAAAGACTCCCTTGAAGCTCGTCTATAAAGACACCCTTGCAGCTCGTCTATAAAGACTCCCTTGCAGCTCGTCTATAAAGACACCCTTGCAGCTCGTCTATAAAGACTCCCTTGCAGCTCGTCTATAAAGACTCCCTTGCAGCTCGTCTATAAAGACTCCCTTTTAGCTCGTCTATAAAGACTTCCTATTAGCTCGTCAAAAAAGACTCTCTTTCAGCTCGTCTAAAAATACTCTCTTTCATCTCGTCTAAAAATACTCTTTCATCTCGTCTAAAAATACTCTTTCAGCTCGCCTATAAAGACTCCCTTTCAGCTCGTCTAAAAAGACTCCCTCTCCTATTATGACTACCTCTAGCTTGTCTTTCCGAAAATTCCCATAAGCCCCTCTTTATTTGTTATTGTTTTTCACACATTTTTTGTGTGTGTTAGAAGAGCAATTATTATCATTGTCATCATCATCACCATAATCTACAAAGCGCGACGTCCCACATACTTTCCCTGGCAAACCAAACAACTAACCAACAACAATTCTGTCTGCAGTCACTGGTTGAGATTCTAGAGAGCACAGACCTAATTTTGAAAAGCGGAAGAACATATTCACACTTTGATAGCGGCTAAAAACTAAAATTAATTTGAAATTATTTTCCCGAAAAATATGTGGCCATTGAAAACTTTTCACTTTGCCATTTTGGTGGCTATTGTTTTGGTAGCTATAACTCCCGCAATGGCAGGAACCAAAGCTTTGGTCAACACTCCAGCAACTAGCAAGGGTAAATAAAGACATTTATTTTTGGAATATACATTTGTATAATTCTCTTTCCATCCAAGCAGAGCAAAAAGATTCCAAATGTCTGCTACCCAAAGAACCTGGGCCATGTCGCATGCGTTTGGAGCGTTATTACTACAATGCCGAAACAGATTCCTGTGAAACCTTTGTTTTTGGAGGCTGTCGTGGCAATGAGAATTCATTTGGCTTCAAGGAGACCTGTGAAGCGGCTTGCAAAAAATCTCCCCTGACTTCCAAGAAAATGAATCCGTCCACCTTGAAATCGCTGACATCCAACACTCCCATTACAGAGAAGCCAACAGTGGCCAGTGCGACGTCGACAACTACAACAGCCAAAACTCCAAGTACTACCACTGTCAAGAAATAAACCAGAATTCATGCGAAGGGGATTTTCGGTAGAATTGTTTAAAAGCTTCAACGAAAATGTTGGGGTTTTTCTTTTCCTTTTTTTTGATAAATACGCCATGTTTGTCACACGCTTTACGAAAATAATAAAAAAAAAACGTAAATAAATTAATAAAATAAACAATTGTGCCGTAGTGGTTATGCGTACCTACTTGCCTCGATTCCCAGATATCTTCATGAATCACGATTGTTTACTTTTGAGCTGCTTGAGTGTTTGTCGCCAAGCTTGGAGTAGCTCGTCTCTATGGCATCGTGCGAAAATCCATGCTCATCACTAAAGTTGATTGAACGTTTTAGCCGTCCCTCATTGAATATTCGGAATTATAGCCGGAATAGCATATTTAAATTCATATTATTGGATTGACACGCCATTAAGCAGAAACGTGACTTAGGAGGGGCGGGGTATATTTTGAAATTAGCAAGTTGTGTTTTGAAGATCTTTTATGGGATTTCAGACGGGTTATTAAAAGAGATTATTTGTGGAAGACCCGTATGGAATCTCTTATACCATTTGAAGGAAGACTAGGAATTTAACATAAGACCAGAAAGGAACGTTAATAGCTCATCCAAAGGTAGTAGCGAAAAGGAAGGGGGAATCTCTTTAGAGAAACCGAAGAGAAATCTTTATAAATGAGATGAAGCAGATTTTTTAAGGAACTAAGGCACTCGTTTTAGACCAGCTGAAGGGAATTTCATAGAGCTAAAGGGAATCTTTTTAAACGAGTTGAATGGAATCTTTTAGACGAGGTAAGGAGAGTCTTTGTGATAAGCTGTAGGATGAGTTTTAAGACGAATCGGAGATGCAATTGCAAAGTGGTTTTTGACTAACAATAGGAAGTCCCTATAGATGGGCTTTAGAGGTACTAAATACTCTTTAGTCGAGCTGAAGGTAGTATTCATAGACCAGCTGGAGGGAGTATTTATAGATTAACTTAAAAGAAGCTTTTTAGACGAGTTTAATGGAGTCTGATGGGCGAAGGTATTTTTTTTAGAAGAGTTGAAGATAATCTTTTTAGACGAGCTGAAGAGATTTTTTAGGCGAGATGATAGGATAAATGAGTATTTATAAAAAAAGTGATGGATATATTTTTAGACGAGTTGACAGGGAGTCTTTATAGACGAGTTGACAGGGAGTCTTTATAGACGAGTTGGCAGGGAGTCTTTATAGACGAGCTGAAAGGGAGTATTTATAGACGAGTTGGCAGGGAGTCTTTATAGACGAGTTGACAGGGAGTCTTTATAGACGAGTTGACAGGGAGTCTTTATAGACGAGTTGACAGGGAGTCTTTATAGACGAGCTGACAGGGAGTCTTTATAGACGAGCTGACAGGGAGTCTTTATAGACGAGTTGACAGGGAGTCTTTATAGACGAGCTGACAGGGAGTCTTTATAGACGAGCTGAAGGGGAGTCTTTATAGACGAGCTGAAGGGGAGTCTTTATAGACGAGCTGAAGGGGAGTCTTTATAGACGAGCTGAAGGGGAGTCTTTATAGACGAGCTGAAGGGGAGTCTTTATAGACGAGCTGAAGGGGAGTCTTTATAGACGAGCTGAAGGGGAGTCTTTATAGACGAGCTGAAGGGGAGTCTTTATAAACGAGCTGAAGGGGAGTTTTTATAAACGAGCTGAAGGGGAGTCTTTATAGACGAGCTGAAGGGGAGTCTATATAGACGAGCTGAAGGGGAGTCTTTATAGACGAGCTGAAGGGGAGTCTTTATAGACGAGTTGACAGGGAGTCTTTATAGACGAGTTGACAGGGAGTCTTTATAGACGAGTTGACAGGGAGTCTTTATAGACGAGTTGACAGGGAGTCTTTATAGACGAGTTGACAGGGAGTCTTTATAGACGAGTTGACAGTTAGTCTTTATAGACGAGTTGACAGGGAGTCTTTATAGACGAGCTGAAAGGGAGTCTTTATAGACGAGCTGAAAGGGAGTCTTTATAGACGAGCTGAAAGGGAGTCTTTATAGACGAGCTGAAAGGGAGTCTTTATAGACGAGCTGAAAGGGAGTCTTTATAGACGAGGTGACAGGGAGTCTTTATAGACGAGTTGACAGGGAGTCTTTATAGACGAGTTTACAGGGAGTCTTTATAGACGAACTGCAAGGGAGTCTTTATAGACGAGCTGCAAGGGAGTCTTTATAGACGAGCTAAAAGGGAATCTTTATAGACGAGTTGACAGGGAGTCTTCTTAGACGAGTTGACAGGGAGTCTTTATAGACGAGCTGACAGGCAGTCTTTATAGACGAGCTGACAGGGAGTCTTTATAGACGAGCTGACAGGGAGTCTTTATAGACGAGCTGACAGGGAGTCTTTATAGACGAGCTGACAGGGAGTCTTTATAGACGAGCTGACAGGGAGTCTTTATAGACGAGTTGAAGCGAGTCTGTTGGGCGAAGGGAGTCTTTTTAGACCAGTTAAAGCGAGTCTTTAGTCCTTAGTTTTTATACGCGATCTGAAGAGGCTTTCTATAGGCCAGCTGAAAGAATCCAAATTTAAGGTCAATATAAGATTATATGGAGGAGCTAAAGGGAATATCTTTGGACGAGCTGAAAGAAGTGTCTATAGATCCGTAGAAGGAGTTGAAAAATTGAGAATTTTTATTACCAACTCACAAAGGGAATTTTAAGTACGTCTGACATCATTATGCGTTTGTTAAGGGGTGACTTTGTAAAGATAAGTCGGTCATAACTTGATTTGAAGACTTTACCGACCAACGGTATTCGTTTAGTAATTTTTGTCTGTCTGAAGTTCTTGGGTTTACAGTTAACAAGAAATAATAATTCCAAGCAATCCCATTCACGCTTCCAATTCCGGAAGTTAGCTACGTCTCTGTTCGCCTCCAACACCTGATTGGCAACAAGAAATTGAACCAAAACAGAAAAAATTCTAAGTCATTTAAACTTCAAGCCACGCAATTAAAATTCTAGGTACATTACTTCCCGTATGCGTTCGCCACAACGTCACTACTTATCGGCCAACAACAAAAACATCAATCGTTTTGATCATTCATAGCCAAGAAGAGACGTGCTAAATGGATTTATGATTTTCTCTTCGTAGCTTCGAATTATGCAAATGTGATGGCGCTCTTAAAAACAAATAAAAAAAAAAAACAAAATCATGCCCAAAATATGGGCAAAAATCCCAAAACGCTAAGCAAACAAGGTAGGCTAGCTGGGGCAGAGCTGCTTCATCATCACGGGCCTAACTACCTACCGAGCGTTTCATTGTTGATTTTGCTCATTAACAATTGGTGGGAGCTTGGCAAATCGATAAGTGGCTATTTAATGTGGTCCGAACGCTAGCGTTGAACACACTTCGTCTTAGTCAGTCCTCAGAGAAACTTCTACAGAGTTTCAAAGCTTCCATTTTCCTCCCGCATTTTCGTGTTTATTTATCAATTGGATAACAATGAAATCGTTTGTCTGTGTCTTGTTGTGCTCCTGTTTGGTGGCCGGAATTTATGCTGCCGCAGTGGAACCCGTCGTCGAAGAGGTGAAAACCGATGTGAAGCCAGCTGATGCTGCCACAGCTGCCCCCGAAATGGAATTGGTGATCGATGAAGATTGCCACCAACCCAAGGAAACTGGCCGTTGCTTTGCTCTTTTCTATCGTTTCGCCTATGACGTCGAGAAACGTGAATGTGTCGAATTCATTTATGGCGGCTGTGCCGGTAACTCAAACAATTTCGAATCCAAGGAAGATTGTGAAAAGAAGTGCATGAAGAAGGCCGAAGATTTAAAGGAAGAGAAAGAAGAAAAGAAAACTGAGGAAGAAGAAAAGAAAACAGAGGAAGAAGTAAAGAAAACTGAGGAAGAAACTGTTGATGCTGTAACCACCGTTTTGCCCGAAAAGGCTGAGGAACCCAAAGCTGAGACGAGCAGCACTGAGAAAGTTGCCGTAACTGAATCATCGTAAAGTGTTTACTTTTCATTCTGTTGGCAATATTACATTCTTACACATTCGTACATACACACATCATGACATAGATAAAAGCAAAGGTGTTTTCCATTCATTCATTCGCCCATCGCCCATAACGTTTGTTACCTGCTAAGTGATTTTATAATTGTTATATTTAAGTTAATAATAAAATGAGTAAATAATTAAAAAATAAACAAAAAAAAAAAAAAAAAAATTAAAAACGAGAAACACATTTTTGATGAATGGGAAATGTTATAGGATCTGAGGGAAGTCGGATAATCGAATTTACTTTACTAAAAGCGTAGGATCTGTACAATTCTTTCTATTTCAATTTCAATATGGAAAAAATACACATAATTGCCTTTAGGAAATGTTCTTAATAGACCACCAGAAAGTAGTTGTATAAACTATCAAAATATATCTTTTAAATGACATGTAAGGATTTTTTGGAGGCTATCTTATAACATTAACAAATGAGCTCAAGTTGGAGATGACAGTTTTTACAGATGATGTAGGAAGTCTCCATATATAAGCCAAATGTTTTCCTAATAAGAGACCTGAAGAGAGTCTTCTTAGGTGGGCTGAATGAAGTTTTCGAATAAGATATAAAACTAGTTTCTATAGGCGAACTAAAAAAAAAGGTTTCATAGGCGAGTTGAAAAACGTCTTTCAGATTAGCTGGATACAGGATTTTTTAGTCGAGCTGGAGGGAAGGTTTATAGACGAGCTGAAGGACGCCTTTCTAGGATAGCTAAAGGATGAATTTTTAGACGAGCTGAAGGCGGTTTTTTACGAGCTGAAGGCAGTCTTTTTAGACGACTTCAGACTGCTGTCATTTCTAAGCCACTCTTCCGACAGCTGTTAAACTTATTCCAGCTTATTATATTGTTTACAAGCGTACAAATGCATTTTGATGAGAACTTTCCAGAAAAAAAAATTATTCGTGATGGAATTTGAGCGTGATAGTGTGATTTCTTTATATTTGGCTGGAAAACCACAAGAGGCTATCGTTAGAGCGTTCCAGCATTAAAATGTGAATGAATCTTCTGTGTCTTGTACCATCGCTCGTTACCGTGATACTGGTAGCGTAGCCCGACGTCATGGAAGTGGACGGAAGAAAACAGCAACATCAGCAGAAATGGTTCGAAAATTAACGAAGCGACTTGATCGAAACACGCGTCGCAGTGGCCGAAAAATGGCTCGTGAGCGGAACATATCGCAATGTTCCATTCTGCAAGTATGAATAAATGAGCTCAGGATAAAGCCATTGAAATTCCAAAAAGTGCAAGAACTTACACCGCAACAGAAAGAAAATAGATTCAAAAGAGCTAAAGAGTTACTTTGCTTGGTCGAAAGTGGTGAACTGCCGAATTTGGTTTTCTTCGTCTCCGATAAGAAAACATTCGTTGTCCAGCAGTTTGTAAACAAACAAAATGGTGGTGTTTAATTGCCAAAGAGGTCAGCTGAAAATGTGCACCTTCGGTTGGCCACCAGATCTCAAGCGCCGGCCATGGTGATGGTGTAGGCCGTCATAACAACCGATGGTCGGTCTCCGCTCGTATTAATCAACCGTGGCATCAGAGTAAATGCCGAATATTATCGCTGAAATATTCTGGAGGGTGTATTAAAGGCTTGGGCACGCAAACATTTTGGTCGCAGACTTTGGACATTCCTACAGTATTCAGCACCATCGCACTCAGCACGCGCCACCCTAGAATGTTTACAAAATTGGGATCCTCGCTTACATTCCAGCGCACAATGGCCACCAAAATCTCCGGATACCATATTCCTTGGACTATTGTGTCTGGAGTATTTTGGAAAGCAAGGTTGGCACTAAAAAATACCAAAGTGTCGATTACCTCTTAATAGGCTTAATAGGCATGTTTAAAGAATAGATTAGCTGATAGACGAACTGAAGGATCCTTTTTGGGTCATGTGAAGGAAATCATTTAAGATGAGCTGAAGGTAGTATTTTTCGACGAGCTGAAGGCGGTTTTTATGCGAGCTAAAGACAAACTTTTTAGTATTAAATGTAAGCAGTTTAAGCGAGGTTTATTAGACTTGCTGAAGTGAATCTAAAGCAAGTCTTTTTCGAAGAGCTGTTGGCGGAAGGAAGGAGTCTTTATAGACGTTCTAAAGAAAGTCTTTTTAGACGAGCTAAATGTAGTATTTCTAGACTAGCTGAAAGGAACCTTTATAGACGAGCTGAAGGCCGTCTTCATAGACGAGCTGAGTGGAGTTTTTATAGACGAGCTGAGCAGAGTCTTTATAGACGAGCTAAGCGGGGTCTCAGGACGACCTGAGCGAAGACTTTATAGACGAGCTGAGCAGAGTCTTTATAGACGAGCTAAGCGGAGTCTTCTAGACGAGCTAAGCGGAGTCTTCTAGACGAGCTAAGCGGAGTCTTTATAGACGAGCTGCAGGGAGTTTTAAGAGCTGAAGGGAGTTTTAGGAAATGAATCTACGAAATGTGGTCGGGCTGAAGCTATTCTTTATATGGATTTTATTTTTTAAGGTTCGAGAAAGAGTTGTCCCATATTTACCTTGGCTCTTTTTTGATCTAAATTTGATATAAATGACGACGACATCATATTTCGACATTTAAAAAAAAAAAAATTTGGGGGAGTTTGCCGGATAGTGTGAATCATTGCATTCCTTATTCACACCTGTTCTAACTTACCCAATATATTGTGTTGTAAAAATTAGAAGAGAATAGGAAATTTATTTCCCGTTTTAAAAGAGTTTTTATTTTTCAAAATTTTGAACTTTTGTGGGGGAGGTACAAACGCGTCATACGATATTCCTGTAAAATTTCTTTCTTTTGTAGGAGAGGTAAAAGAAGGCGTGAACCGATTGCGGTTATTTTCTCAGCTAACCTATGGCTGATTCAAATATTAAGATTTGTAATGTTTGATTAGATTTTCTTTGAAAACGTTAACATTTTGGGGTGGAGAAGGTATGATTTGGCCACATTCCGAACTCAAACCAAGTTCGGAATATTTTGTTGTACCAAACTTGGACGACATCGGCTACTCCCTTCAAAAATTATCTTGGGCAGCGGACAGACACATGGATTGACAATAAATATCCGGAAAACAATTTACATTTTAGCCTATCCAATAATATATATCCTCTGGAGCCACAAGTTTGAGGGTATATTAATCCACTTGCTTATCTAATTTGTGTCTAAGCAATCTTTGGGGGTGGACTGAAAATATGTTTTAGAAACTCTCAGGAGATATTAACGGTCCAAAATAACTCTAATATAGAGAAAAATTAATGCGGCCTCTTTGAAGCTATAACGAATTTATCACATAGTTCAAAGATTGGAAATTTTTAAGATTTAGAATTGCAACAATATTTAATTGGAATTTAATCACAACAATTAATTGTAGTTAACAATAAAGTGTAAAATATAACATCTACATTGTCTGACGATAGCGAAGGTGTTAAAACAGTTTTGTGTAAATATTTTTATTTGGGGTGATTGTAAAATCAATATAAATATTTTCGTTTTTTTATCTTTAATACAATTGATTTAGCGGAATATTTGAAACCTAGTTCCATAGAAAAACGCAAATGACTAAAAACCTTTACCTTTCCTATTATCGTTAAACGTTTTTCCAAAAAGAAATATAAAAACCTTTCCCTTATTTAGATCGTTTTTATACCCTGGAGGATATGTCATTTGATAGGCCAAAACGTGCCTCATCGAAATAACGATTTTAGACCTTAGGTGTCTTTGGACCAAATCCGTTTCAGGACATTTGGCGTCGATCTAGCCATGTCCGTCCGTCGTCTGTCTGTGTGGTAGTGAGCAGGATAACTCTCAAAAGGAGTATACGATTTGGTCCAAGTTGGATCGAGTTCGGAGATGGGCAATATCGGTCCACTCCTTCCGGTACCTCCCGCACAAAAGGTCAAAATTTAAAAAAATATATATTTTACTGCACAGAAAAAGAAAGGGTAATCCGATTTTGCTCCAAATTTTTAATTCCAAGTATTTGCATCAAGGGCAGATGAGAAAATGGACAATATCGGTCCATCAAGTAGCTTCCCCGCACACGTTGAATATTTATAACTCTTATAAAAGGTGATGTAAGAATCCGATTGTCCTTAAATTACACACATTACAATATTTTTATTAACCCATGGTCTGGTGTGAAGATGGAATATATCGGTACACTCCTTCTGGTACCTGCTCCCAATGGGTCAGAATTTTGAATATCGATGAAGCTCATAAAACACGAAGTTAACATCCGATTCCATTCAGACTTGATACATCTCAATATTTACATCAACACAAGATCTGTTTTAAAGATGGTAGAGATCGGATCATTCCTTCTGGTACCTCCCCCACATTTCACGCATCCCATTATTTCTACTAATACAAAATCTGCTTTGAAAATGAGATAATCTCATCTCAATATAGTAAAAGGTAGAGAGGAGTATGTCATTATTGATGTATTCATACATCGAGATTTTCAATACACATTACACGATGATGTTGTTTAAACATATTTTTACAACTTTCCCAACTAAAAAAAATATAGTGGGCCTCCCTTCAAAGTAACCTCCATACTGCAGTTTTTACATTTTCTTATCAGCTGTCTGTTTATTTGTTCGAAATTACTGAGTTATTACCTTGTTCTGACGCTTCAAAATTATTTGCAACACGATTATTGAGGTTAACAGCTCATTGCACTGTGAGAAATGAATCGAAGTTATTCAAACTGAAATAACGATATAATGACTTCTCGAAAGGAAATTTCAAACAAAAGCTGAAACCTGGCGGAATATATTGTAATCTATTTCTAACCCTGATAGAATAAGAAAGTAGACTCATAGAACTCATTTCAAATTGAAAATCGGGTCTAGAATTTAGGAATTTTCCACCAGGCATTTTATACCCTACACCTTGAAAAGGAGGATATATTAACTTTGTCATTCCGTATGCCTTTCTGTTGAAATCACGATACAGCCCACATTATTTGACGCAGAGCTTCATTCAAATTTGGCACAACAATTTGTATTATGTCTAGGATGGTTGGTATTGAAAATGAGATATATAGGTCGACATATTGGTATAGCCTCCCGATATTCGATATTTGGATGATTTTAGCCACATTTTTTCACCAATTTGTCTAAAAATTGGTATTTGTAGTGCGTTATGGGTTCTAAATTCAATGGCGGAACATTGTATAGTTAATCTAGTCAAATTTAACTACATAGAAATTCGGAAGAATAGTGTAAGAATTTTCCCCCTGAGATGGAATGACAATGAGGTGCCCTTAATCTATAATTAAAAAAAAAATAAATAAACAAAAACATGAGGTTACCTTCTGATGTTCCTCTAAGATCTTTCAAAGTAAATATTTTCTTAGTCGCTATTTTTGCCTACTTTATTTATGTTGGCAAATCTTTTCCTTTTCTGATATTTGAATCCGTTGAATCCTGGCCATCAATCTCCATGCTTAGTTTGACATCATATTTTTCTCCGTGTAGTCTAAAAATAAAAATACATTTGTTTGGCGTATTCTCCCTACGACACAATTGAATTTTGAATACCAGTTTTAATTCGAATGCTGGTGTTGACAGACACTCGTTTCATGTAAAACCGGCGCTTCGAAATGCAAAAATTATTCTGTTTATTCTTGGCAATGTTAGTCATGTCGACAACGACCTTCGCCCTTAAAGATCGTAAGTTGTGTGAAGCTGATTTGAGATTTAAGTTAGTAAACAATATTGATTGTTGTAATGTTTTACTTAGCTATTTGCGGCCTACCACATTCACAGGATGGTGACAACGATCTTCAGTGTCGCGGTCGATTCCCATTGTTTTCATATAATTCGGATGCCAAGGAGTGTGTCAGTTTCATTTATGGCGGGTGTGGTGGCAATGAAAACCGTTTCAGCAGCAAAGAGCTGTGTGAGGAAAAGTGCAAAGAATAATGTTTTCTGAATTGTTTAAAACTAATATTTAAATAAAAAAATAATATTAAAATAAAAGTTCTCTGAGATGTTCTTCAAGTTTGGGTTGAATAAATTTTTGGTTACGTAATTTTTTATAGCAGATAAAAATCAATTGTAAATTAACTAGTTATTCCCATCAACCAATCTATTTGTAAAGAAGCCTTAACTGAAATGTGTGTTTCGCCTAAAAGTATGCTCTACTTTATGGAGCATTCGTTAACAATACAGTGAGTCTTCTTAAAATTGCTGTTAGTAAATAGTGAATAACAAACCAACACTAGACAACAAAATAGAATTCAGATTTGATTGATTTCAATCCACTCCAACTAAGTTAAATACTCTTAAATGATTTTTTAAACAGTTTGACATAAAAAACAACGTTTTTTAGTGGAGCAAAAATTATATTTTTTTTGCCAGAGAGTAGGGCTTGGTTTTCGTCTGGGAATATTCTCCCCAGGAGTTATTTAAAAATAACTCACATGACAAAAAGTTTTTATACCCCAGTGACGATCAGTATATGAGAAACCATAGAAATGAAAAAAAAAAAACTTTTGCCATAGTCTCAAAATCATGCAAAACCTTTCTTCGATTGTGTCTTTGTTTATAAATAGAACAGTCTTGGATTTTTTTTAGGATTTTGCCTAGAATTAGCTTTTAGATGTGGTTAGGTGTTCACCTTGAAATCAGATCCGAACTTAAGGAAAACGAAAACAATCGATTTGCTCGTTTTAATGTATGTGAATAAGGTTCAGCTCAAGGTGGAGTTTCCCCGCAGGACCTGAACATAGTTATATATACAGGGTGAGAAGAAAAAACTTCAACCAACTTCAGACTGCTGTCATTTCTAAGCCACTCGTCCGGCAGCTGTTAAAATTATTCCAGTGACAGCTCATTATATTGTTTACAAGCGTACACAAGCATTTTGGTGAGAATTTTCCAGAAAAAAGTTATTCGTGATGGAATTCAAACGTGATAGTGTGACTTCTTTATATTTGGCTGGAAAACCAGAAGTGGCTATCGTTAGAGCACTCCAGCATTTAAATGTGAATAAATCTTTTGTGTCTCGTACCATCGCTCGTTACCGTGATACTGGTAGCGTAGCCCGATGTCAAGGAAGTGGACGGAAAAAAACAGCAACATCAGGAGAAATGGTTCGAAAATTAAAGAAGCGACTTGATCGAAACCCTCGTCGCAGTGGCTGAAAAATTGCTCGAGAGCTGAACATATGGCAATATTCCATTCGGCAAATATTGAAAACAGAGCTAGGGGTAAAACCATTGAAATTCCAAAAAGTGCAAGAACTTACACCGCAACAGAAAGAAAATAGACTCAAAAGAGCTAAAGAGTTGCTGAAAGTGGTGAACTTCCGAATTTTGGTTTTCTCCATCTTCGATGAGAAAACATTCGTTGTCCAATAGTTTGTAAACAAATGATCCTGTTTACTTGCCAAAGAGGTCAGCTGAAAATGTGCACCTTCGGTTGGCCACCAGAACTCAAGCGCCGGCGATGGTGTGGGCCGCCATAACAGCAGATAGTCGCTCTCCGCTCGTATAAATCGACCGTGGCATCAGAAAAAATGGCGAATATTATTTGGAAAATATTCTAGTGGCCTTGGGCACTCAAATATTTTGGCCGCAGACCTTGGACATTCAAACAGGACTCAGCACCATCGCACTTAGCACGCGTCAACCAAGAGGGCTTAAAAATTTCTAGCGCACAATGGCCACCAAAATCTCCGGATACCAATCCGTTGGACCATTGTGTCTGAAGTATTTTGGAAAGCAAGGTTGGCACTAAATAATACCAAAGTGTCGATCACCTCAAGCAAGCGCTTCGCCGGGAATGGACCAAGATACCGCAGAGCAACATTCGGGCAGCATGAGATGGTTTCATTGGCCGTTTGAAGGCCATAACCAATTCGAACAAATCTAAAATTATTCTATAATTCGATGCTATTTCCGGCATTTTTAGCTTTCATTCAATTAAATTAAAAAAAAAAAAAATGTAAAAATTATGGCTTTTGACTTTGTTGCAGATTTTTTATCTCACCTTGTATGTAGCAATGTGGAATGTTTTGTACCAAAACATGTAGATCCCAGTGTGTTTCAGGTCTTTGACGAATATTCCAGGGTGTTGTAAACACTTTCCACACATAGAAAGATTCCATTGAAGCACGATTGGAATATCACGATTTATAGAATCTTCTATAATTTCGAGAGTCTCAATACATAGCAGTCGGACTTACAGACGATCTTCCTACTGGTCGATGGTTGGTTGTATAAACCCAAACATTTTTGAAATGTATTTGGAAAATAAATTAAATTTATTTTCAATGTCAGCAGGTGTAAACGACATTAGTAAGAGTCAAACTGGGGGAAAACCAGGTTGAACCAAACTACGTAGATATTTTCCAAGAATCAGGGGCATCACATTATGAGTTCAAACAAACCCACAACATGCTATTTGTTTATTCAAAACAATTCCAAGTAATCCAGAGAGAGAGAGAGTGAAAGAGTCCAGCTGATAAGCGTGGCCCTATAATGTTTAACACACTTCGGGCAAGCAATTTAAATATATTTTTGAGTTTTTCTTTTTTTCAAAATAAAATTGATAAAGCAATCGACAAAAGAACAACAACAGTTGTAATTTGTGGAGAATCTGTGTCAGGCAAGGTCATTCCCTAGCCTTGGTACAAAATAAATTACGTCGATTTTCTAATCAGAATCTATCAGAAAATGTTCGCTTAACTATGTAGCCTTATCTCGCATTTGGAAGCTGTGGCTTCCGTTCAAGTAGCTTAGATTTCAAATATATTTTGGGTGCTTTTAAATATTTGAAATTAGTTTCAATTTGAATTCAAATCAAATAGTTCAGAACTAAAAAATATTAAAAAAATGAAATTCTTCGCTGTATTTTTGGCCATTTTCGCCTTCATCTCCTGCAGTTTTGCCCTGAAGGATGGTAAGAGATCATCCTTTTTGTAATAAATTTATTAAATTTTTTATTTGTTTGCAACAGCTGTCTGTGGCCAAGCCCATGCCAAAAACGGTAATGGTGTCATCTCCTGCTTGGGATTCATGAAGTCCTGGTCCTACAATGTGGAAAGTAATGAATGTACCGAATTCGTTTATGGCGGCTGCATGGGCAATGACAACCGCTTCGAATCCAAGGAAGCCTGCGAACAAAAATGCAAAGAATAAATTTTACGATGTGTGATAATCTGTGATGGTGATGGATGAATAAAGTTAATTAGTTAATGTTGAAAAATTGAAAAGCGACAATTTTTATTCAGGTTTACAAAGTTCAAAGATCTAACGTCAAATATGCTATCGGTTGAAAATTTTAAGCTTTTATCCTATTTGTCGTTCCAAATATTAAGACATCTAGTCTGGGTGTAAAAATTAATCTTGGTGGGATCATCGTAGATCTACTTGGGAAAATCGTGCAAAAATCGGTATATGACATATTTCTAGGCCTACAAAGGGTATACATCAGAGAATAAGGGAATTATTGAGTATGAATTTTCTACAAATTGTGAAATATTAAGAAAATCAGCAGAGAATTGGGAAAAACAGCTAAATTTGTTGAAAAAAATGTTTTTTTTTTTATAAACCAAAATTGATGACATTTTTATGGTAAATAATAAGTATACACCTTTTTTTGTTCAAAGGCTCAGAATGACATTTAATTTAGAATATTTCTTCTTTTGACACTTTACCCGAAAAATGAAGTGTTACAGAGATTTTGACATAGATTGGAAACTCATTTTAGTAGCAGTAAATACGTAAACACATAATTTTCCCTTGTAATACATAAGTTTCGAATGTAACTTTCTTAAAAACTATTAAAGATTTATGTGTGGTTTGTTCTGAGATTTGTTTGTGAAGAATATTTCTTCTTTAAACACTTTCTGCCGTAATCGAAGTTTTATGTCACTTTCAAGCATCTATTAGATGAAAATACCGATGAAAAAATTTATCAAAAATGTTGGCGAGGTTTTCGGTATTTAATACCCTCCGCCATACATAGTATGAAGGGGATATTAAGTTCGTCATTCCGTTTTTAAGTCATGGAAATTATATTTTTAGACCTAACATAGTATATTAGACTGTTGTCATTATTAAGCCACTCGTCCGACAGCTATAAAATTATTCCAGTGACAGCTCAGTATATTGTTTACAAGTGTACAAAAGCATTTTGGTGAGAATTTTCCAAAAAAACAAGTTATTCGTGATGGAATTCAAGCGTGATAGTGTGATTTCTTTATTTTCGGCATTTGGCTGGAAAACCGCAAGTGGCTATCGTTACAGCACTCCAGCATTTAAACTCTTTTGTGTCTCGTACCATCGCTCGTTACCGTGATACTGGTAGCGTAGCCCTACGTCAAGGAAGTGGACGGAAGAAAACAGCAACATCAGCAGAAATGGTTCGAAAATTAAAGAAGCGACTTGATTGAAACCCGTGTCGCAGTGGCCGAAAAATGGCTCTTGAGCTGAACATATCGCAATATTCTATTCGTCAAATATTGAAAAATGAGTTCGGGGTAAAGCCACTGAAATTCCAAAAAGTGCAAGAACTTACACCGCTACAGAAAGAAAATAGATTCAAAAGAGCTAAAGAGTTGCTTCGCCTGGCCGAAAGTGTTGATCTGCCGCATTTCTCCGATGAGAAAACTTTCGTTGACCAGCAGTTTGTAAACAAACAAAATAATCGTGTATACTTGCCAAAGAGGTCAGCTGAAAATGTTCACATTCGGTTGGCAACCAGAACTCAATCACCGGCCTTGGTGATTGTGTGGGTCGCCATAACAAACGATGGCCGCTCTCCGCTCGTATTAATCGACCGTGGCATCAGAATAAATTACGAATATTATCGCGAAAATATTCTGAAGGGTGTATTAAAGCCTTGGGCACGCAAACATTTTGGCCGCAGATCTTGGACATTCCAACAGGACTCAGCACCATCGCGCCACCTAAGAATGGTTACAAAATGAGGTTTCTCGAAAAATCTCCGGATACCAATCCGTTGGACTATTGTGTCTGGAGTATTTTGGAAAGCAAGGTAGGCACTAAAAAATACCATAGTGTCGATCACCTCAAGCAAGCGTTTCGCCAGGAATGGGTCAAAATACCGCAGAGCAACATTCGGACAGCATGTGACGGTTTCATTGGCCGTCTGAAGGCCATAATTCTAAAGGTGACCAATTCGAACAAATCTATACTTATTCTAAAATTTGATGCTATTTCCGACATTTCTTGCTTTCATTCAATAAAATTAAAAAAAAAAATAAATAAAAATTATGGCGTTTGACTTTGTTGCAGATTTTTATCTCACCCTGCATATTCTATATTCTTGATCAGTGTAAAATTCTAAGATGATTTAGCCCTGTCCGTCCGTCTGTTATAATCACGCTAGAGTTAAAACGAATAAGGATAGAAAGCTAACACTTTGTCTTTTTTTCAGTCTTTCGTCTGCAGGCAGGTCAGGTTCGAAGGAAGATATCATATAGCCCCCATATAACGGTACCGCCCGATATTCGGTATTTTAATGATTGTAGCCAAATTTTTCAAAAAAAATTGTCTGAAAATCCACACAAGAAGTCCTTTCTGAGCTCTTTACCCCCTGGGAGAGAATTGTATGTATAGGTCTATTATATCGCATAGCCCCCATACAACGGTACCGCCCGATATTCCGTATTTTGATGATTTTAGCGACATTACTCACTGGAATTGTTTCAAATTTCGTATTTGAAGTTTCTAATGGGTACTACAGTCTGTGACAGAAAATTGTCTATGCAGATCCAGCTCTTCGTATATCAATACCTCCCTATATTTGGTATTTTTATGATTTTAGGTACGCTGTTCACCAAATTTTTTAAAGTTTCGTATTTGAATATAGTAATGGAATATGAAAAAAGCTGCCTATGTAGGTCTTCGTATAGACCCCAATATAATGGCTATATTTGGAATTTTTAAGACTTTAACAGTATTTTTAACGGATTCTACTTTTTTGAAAATTTCCAAATATGTCCCAAATGGTGGAGGGTATTCAAAGTTCGGCCCGGTTGAACTTATTGTATTTTTTTTTTTGATGATATAGCATTGATGCTAATGTTTTCTATACATACAACTTAAATAGAGATTTCTTCTCTGTGGCAACTTATAGTGAAATTTGATGCCATTGACATCATCCTTCTATAATTATGCTTTGTAGGAGAATTCTGCCTAAACTTACAAGAAGTAAGGTTTTAACCCTAAAATATATTTTTAATATTTATGATTTTCCGACGTTTGATTAAGGTGACTCATTTGAGAGCTAAAATTTTCGTCCAAAATAATTATGAAATTGTTATCAGTAATATTGCCGAAGATACATATTCAGGGCATCTTTATCCGAAAATTTAAAAAAAATATATATTCTGGATCCATAGTTACATTTGAGGATCTTCATAAAATATGTCCCTCTGTTTATTTCAAATTTCGGGTTCATTGTGCCACAAACGGCCAATATCAGTCTAAATGATATGAATTTTGGCACATCTGGCCGAATTCAGTCTCGAAGCAAGTACATTAAATTTGGTGAAATTCGGTTAAGATATAGCCAAATGTATATTACATTCGATATGGGGTTTTAAGTCCTTCACATGCGTAATATGCACTTCACAAGGATAATCTTTGGGATCACATATCAGATACTGCTCTGAAATAAGTGTTTCAAATTTTGTAGGGATCGGTTCAGATTTGGATATAGCTCCCATATATATCTTTATCCGATTTCAGGTTTTTTGTACACTAAATGGCTAATATCAGGCCAAATTGTCTGAAATTTGCCACTTCCGACGGAATTCACCCGAGAAGCAAAGCCAAATTTTTCGATATAGGTTCAGATTTTTATACCCTCCACCTTGGAAAGGAGGGTATATTAACTTTGTCATTCCGTTTGTAACATTCTTAAATATTCGTCTTAGACCCCATAAAGTATATATATTCATAATCAGCATACAATTCTAAGTCGATTTAACGATGTCCGTCTGTCTGTCTGTTGAAATCACAATACAGCCCACATTATTTGACGTAGAGCGCCAAAATTTAGCAGAGCAATTTGCATTGTGTCTAGGATGGTTGGTATTGAAAATGAGATATATCGGTCCACGTTCTGGTATAGTCCCCATATAACGGTACCTCCCGATATTCGGTATTTTGATGAAAATTGGTATTATGGTCATAATGGTTTCCAGCTCCGGTGGCGAAACATTGCATGCATGGGTCCATGATTTGATATAGCCCCCATATAATGGTTTTTTCCACATTTTTTTTACTGATTTGTCTAAAAATTGGTATTTGTGGGTCATAATGGGTCCTAGTTCGTGTGGCGAATCATTGTAATTATAGGTCCACGTTTTGGTGTAGCCCCCATATAACGGTACCTCCCGATATTCGGCATTTTAATGGTTTTTGCCACATTTCTTCTAATGTTTCTTTTACCCTAAGTTGGAGGGTATTAAAAGTTTGGCCCGTCCGAACTTAATGTTTTTTTACTTTTTATATATATAGCTTCGATATACATCTTCATCCGGTTTTACGGTTATTGCTCACCACATATGTAATATCAACCCAAATTGAAGAGATTTTTTCATATTCAATCGTATTTTGCCATATAGGGGATATAGACAGCTTGGTCATTTGAGGAACAACCTATTTTCCCATAATTTCAGTTTTCACATGGTGGAGAGAAAAAATGTCCATCCGTTCCTTTACTAAATGCTAAGATAAACTATTCATTTTTTTATTTTTTGTGTTAGACATTTTCATTTATTTCCACAAAACAATTTCACTCTTTGCACTTGTTTTCACACTCTTCCAAGCTTTCGAAACGATTATCATTTCCACCACAACCGCCGTAAACAAATTGGCCACACTCATTAGTTTCCGCGATGTACGACCAGGATGGGAAATAGGCATTACAGCTAATGCTGCCATCACCGTTCATCGAATGTTCCAAGCCACAGATATCTACAAAAAATTATTCACATTATTATGAAATCGCTTAGCAGTCGATCAAAACCCCCGTCACATACCATCCTTAAGGGCGGCCGATGAGGAAATAAGGGCAACAATGGCCAAGACAAGCACCAACAACAGTTTCATTTTGAAATAAATTTTGTTTTTCATTAAAATCTAAATTTTAACTGAATTTGAATAGAGTTAGGTTCCCAACATTTATACCCAGTGCAAGTGCTTGAAAATTGTTGAAATCGCATTGACACTGGCAGACAATACTTCAACATTGCATGTCTCGAAAATGCCCACTCTCAGATTGGAAGATAAGAGGCATCGACGATCCGCTTTGAAAATTTCTGTTACCGGGTTGTAATGTGACTCATTTTAGGGGAACTGTTTTACAAACAAATGTTGAAAAATGTTTCAACAAGAGCGAGACTTTCAAGTGGCAATTATTTAAATGGGAAATTACACAATGCAACAAAGTAGCATGGCAATTCATATTGTTTGGAAGATGACATTTTAATTTTAAATGTAAGTTTAAACAAATGTTAACCTTTTTCGATTTAAAAAAGGTAGACGGGATTCATTTTAATAAAATTAGATTAGAAAGTATTATTAGGTATCCCCACTACTTGTCTACCATTGTGGGAAGGTCCTACGTACGGTTCGTAAAACTACAGAAATACAGCCCTGAGGCTCTGCCTACTTCCTGTCAGAGACATAAATTATATGCCACAAGTTGTTTAAATTTATATGAATTTTTTTCAAAGCAGTTGGTAGCTGAACCCCTCTTCGTATCATATATTTATATTGACAGACATATTGCGCTTTCAATTTTGGAGAAAATCGGGGAAAAATTTCGAAATTATGAGAGTTATAATAATTCAAAATGTTAGCCATTTGATTCGCGTATTTTTATTTCAATCGACTACATCTTTCGCCTTCTATGAAATATATGACGTTTAAAAATACCCTTGAAGATGGAGGCACCAGGAGGAGCAGGCCAATATATCAAATCTTCATGTTGTTGAAAATATTTGAGCGGATAAATATTGAAGAAAATTGGGCACTATAGATTCTATGAAAGATAGTAACATTTTAAGTTTTAATATTCTTAAGAGAGGCACGAATAGCATGGGGCTATTAGTTTCGAAGTTCTTGACTAAGAACAGTGCCAAGTATGGACTTATTGGCTATTCTCTTCGCTTTATATGAGATCTATAATTATTTTTTTTTTGGAAAATTTTGAACTTTGGAGGCGGATATACCAGAAAGGGCGGATCGACATATTCCATTTCATTCTTGATCTAATATTGACCAAAATATTGAGATGATTGAATAACATCAAATACTGATTTCACCATAAAAGAGAGGTTTTACACTGTGCGACAAAATTTAATTTTTGCATTAATTAAAAGTTGGCGTTTTGATGTTTACATCACAAAGTTACCCTAAATGGGAAAAGGAAAAATCTCCCAAATTGTTATATCCTCAGCCATATGGCTAGACAGGGTATATGTCATTTGATACGACCAAAGCTTGCTTCATCGAAGTAACTGTTTGAAACCCTAGATCTCTTTGGCCCAAATCAAGCGATGTCTGTTCGTCCGTCATCTGTCTGGCTGGCTGGTGCGTACGATAACTCTCGAAGGGACTATCCGATTTGACCTTAACTTGGTACATCGTAATATTATTGTAAACGTAGATCGAGTTCAGAGGTGGGCAAAATGCCAATATTTTTAAAGAAAATAATTTTCTGCAGAGAAAGAGAAAGGATAACCCGATTTTTCTCCAACTTTGCAATTCCTAATATTTGCATCATTGCTAGTCAGATGCAAAAATGGACCATATCGGTCTACTCCATCTAGTACCTTCCGAACAAACGGTAAATATTTTGAATAAATATAACTCTTATAAAATGTGATGTAAGTGTCCGATTATCTTCTAATTTCATACATCCCAATAATTTTATTAACCCAAGGTCTGGGCTGAAGATGGAATGTATCGGTCCACTTCCTCTGGTACCTCCTCCACAAAAGGTCGAAATTTTCAAAAAATTATTTCTTCACAGAAAGAGAAACGACAATCCGATTTTGCTCCAACTTTGCGAATCCTAATATTTTCATCAGTACTAGGTCAGGTGCGGAAACAGACAATATCGGTTCACTGAATCAAGTACCTCCCCCACAAAGGGTTAAAATTTTGAATAATTACAACTCTTATAAAATGTGATGTAAGAGTCCGATTGTCTTTAAATTACACACATCACAATATTTTTATTAGCCCAAGGTCTGGCGCGAAGGTGGAATATATGTCCACTTCATCTAGTACATCCCCCACAATGGGTCAAAATTTGGAATATTCATGAAGCTCATAAAACACGAAATAACATCCGATTCCATTCAGACTTGGCACATCTCAATATTTTTGTCATCACAAGATCTATTGGTAAAGATCGGGCTATTCTTTCTGGTACGACCCTCACATAGGGTTCAAGACTTTTGAAAAACCAAACGCCCAAAGAAAGCGAAATAAGCATCCGATTATCTTCAAATTTCACACATACAAACATTTTTACTAACACAAGATCTGTTGTGAAGATGATTTATATCTTCAAACCCCTTCTGGTACCTCAGCCATATAGGTTAACCAGAAATCCGATATGAATATAAAATTTATCGGAATTTATGATTTTGTATAAAATTGGATATAACTGTTCGATTTCCTTTACAATTTCCACATATCAATATTTTTATCTGTATTAGATGAAGTGGAATATTTCGGTCAGCTATATCTGGTACCTAACGCATATTTCCACATTTTCCAAAAATGTGCGCATATTTCATATAAAGTAAAGGAAGTAGACGATATACTCCAAATATGGCACATTGTAATATTTATATTAGACTTATATCGTTGCAGACAGATACGAATTGGACAATATTGGTCAACTGCTTCAGAACCTCCCCCATAAAGGGCCAACAGTGTGGATAATCATAACTCAAGGCTGGGGGCATATGTCTGTCGGAAAACCCAACAGATACTAATTAACTTGTTTTTTTATTAAAATAAGATCGATTTCGAAGATAAATAATTTCGGTTTCTTCTGGTTACAAACTTGGAACAGGTACAAGTATGGACAACATGCAAGCCATATCTTTTGGTAGGGTTGCTGCCAGGTTCAAAATCACAATAGAGTCATGGATTTTTTTTAAACTAAAAACTTTGATTTTAAATCGTGCCATTAAGTTTGATCTAATGAGTTTGAAAAGTTCTTCTGGCATAAAACTTTTCATTATCCAAAATACAAAATACTTATGTTTTCTATTATCGAAAATTAAAAATATATCCTTGGAGGGATGCACGCGAACCGAAAGTTTGAAATTCTTCCACCAAAAATAGAAAAGTACACAACTTGACAAATTTGTTTTATGTTTCGACGCCTTATCGTCACAACATACGGATGAGTGCATCCGCCGCAGTGTCACAGTACCCCGATGAGGCCGGTCAATAAAGCTATCGGTCAGACGATCTCTAAATGAAAACAACAGTTTTAGTATATAGAATTCGTATAGAAAATTTAAAATGTTCTAAAACTTGCGACAGACAATTCAGTTAGTTTTGTACCACATTGCATTGAAGATGAAATTTACGGCTCTGCTTTTGTTGGCAATTTTTGCCATTATTTCCTCCACAATGGCTCTCAAACATGGTGAGTTAAAGTTGGGAAATTTTCTAGAAGTTTGAAAAAGGAAATTTTTGTTCTCCCTTCTTTGTGTAGATATTTGCGGTTTGAAACATTCCAAAGACGGAAACGATAATGGACTTGCGTGCGCTGCCTATTTTCCCTCGTGGTCCTATAAAGCCGACACCAACGAATGCGTGGAGTTTGTCTATGGCGGCTGTGGTGGCAATGATAATCGCTTCTTCTCCAAAGAAGAATGTGAAGCTAAATGTAAAGAATAAACAATTTGAGAATGAATAATGCGAATGGAAAGGTTTTGGTTTGATTGATGCGGGGAATGTTGTTGATTTTGATTCAATTAAAATGAAAAGAATCGTGGGAATGGGTTATTACCTGGGTATATAAATATTAAATAGCTTTAGATTATTACGCCCTTTTTCTCGTCAAGTTGGATACTCCCTAAGCTTAATATGCGACTTATATTTTTGTTGAAATTATTGAACTTTTGTGGGTGAGTTCCCTGAATGAGTGGAGCGATCGTCGGACTAGGTCTAAATTAAAAAAAAAAATAATAATAACAATAATAATAATTAAAATTATAATAATAGTCCTTTCGAGAGTCGGACAGACCAATATAGGTAAGTGGACTTGCAGTGTCCTAAAACGGATTTCGCAAAACAAACTTGGAGTCAAAAACCGTTATTTCGATGAGGCACATTTTCATCGTATCAAATTATATATTTTCCCGCTGTACAGGGTGAGATGAAAAAACTGCATCCAAATTCAGACTGCTGCCATTTCTAAGCCACTCGTCCGGCAGCTGTTAAAATTATTCCAGTGACAGCTCATTAAAGTGTTTACAAGCGTACAAAAACATTTTGGTGAGCATTTTTCAGAAAAAAATTATTCCTGATAGAATTCAAGCGTGATAGTGTGATTTCTTTATATTTGGCTGGAAAAGCCACAAGTGGCTATCGTTGGATCACTCCACGATCACGAAATGGTTCGAAAGGTAAAGAAGCGACTTAATCGAAACCCACGTCGCAGTGGCCGAAGAAAGGCTCGTGAGCTGAACATATCGCCATATTCTATTCGGCAAATATTGAAAAAATAAGCTAGGGGTAAAACCATTGAAATTCCAAAAGGTGCAAGAACTTACACCGCAACAGAAAGAAAATAGACTCCAAGGAGCTTAAGAGTTGCTTCGCTTGGCCGAAAGTGGTGAACTGCCGCATTTGGTTTTCTCCGTCTCCGATAAGAAAACATTCTTTGTCCAGCAGTTTGTAAACTAACAAAATGATCGTGTTTACTTGTCAAAGAGGTCAGCTAAAAATGTGCACCTTCGGTTGGCCACCACAACTCAAGTGCCAGCCATGGTGATGGTGTGGGCCACCATAACAGCAGATGGTCGCTCTTCGCTCGTATAAATCGACCGTGGAATCTGAATAAATGCCGAATATTATCGCGAAAATATTCTGAAGGGTGTATTAAAGCCTTGGTCACGCAAACATTTGGGCCGCAGACCTTAGACATTCCGACAGGACTCAGCACCATCGCACTCAGCACGCGCCATCTAAGAATGGTTACAAAATAAAGTTCCTCGCTTCAAATGGCAACCAAAATCTCCGGATACCAATCCGTTGGACTATTGTGTCTGGAGAATTTTGGAAAGCAAGGTTGGCACTAAAAGAATACCAAAGTGTCGATCACCTCAAGCAAGCGCTTCGCCTGGAATGGGCTAAAATACCGCAGAGCAACATTCGGGCAGCGTGTGACGGTTTTATTGGCCATAATTTGTGCCAAAGGTGATCAATTCGAACAAATCTAAAATTATTCTAAAAATTGATGCTATATCCGAAATTTTTTGCTTTCATTCAAAAAAAGAAGGGAAAAAAATGTAAAAATTATGGCGTTTGACTTTATTGCAGTTTTATTTCACCCTGTAACCTAAGTCTTAGGGCATAAAAATGGGATATATTTAATGAACATAAATACGTGAAATCAAAATGTATGAATATCTCTGATGCCATAACCCTCCCTCGAAATTCTGTAACAGATAAGACCTTTCACGGTCTACTAAATAAATAGATTATAATATTATTTTCAATTAACCTTTGAATACAAAACCAAGACACGCAGATATTTTTTTATCTCCAACAAAACATGTCCGAATTTTGTATAAAAACCTCAAATTTTCCCCAGATACCGAACATTTTAGGATATCGAATCCTACGAGTAAAGGAAGGAAGTGTTTCTAGAAGAATGAAAATCATCTATTTGTTGTTTTTGTTTGCAATAATTGCCAGCCTATGCTGCACAATCTTTGCCGCTACCATTGGTAAGCTCTGACTTGATTTCTTAAAAATTATTACTAAATTTTTTCTCAGATATCTGTCAATTGGAACATTCTGCCGATGGCGTTGATGGATCGTCCTGTATTGCTGATATGCAATCGTATACCTACAACTCGAATACCAATGAGTGCATCGTCTTCATTTATGGCGGATGTGGCGGCAATGCAAATCGTTTCCGTTCCCGGGAGGAGTGCACGAAAACATGTCTAAAGTAAAAAAATTAAGAATAATAAAGATAATAAATTGAAAATTCAATCGAATGGGTGCTAAAAAATGTAATGGAGAGAAACAGACATATTACAATCTATGATGAACTGATACACCCTCGGATTATATTTGTTTTATTTGACGCGAAATTTAAAATTTTCAAATTTCTTTTGTTCAGAGTCTCACAATGAAAATTGATCTAGAATATATCTTCTTTTGATAATTTTGATAACAATTGTAAGAAATGGAAGCGTGTCAAATTAGCAATGTGAAAACAAAATACATAATTTTTATAAAAATAAAATACATTTTTTAAGGTGGATAAAAAATTGATGGAAAACATTAGGAAATATTTTTTTCGAAACATTGATGCAAATTTTTTTTATTTTTTTAAGATTTACGAATCCCTGGCACTTAGGTAAGATTTAGACATTTGACGTTTTCTAGGTCTTATAGTAGAATTTCATGGCAAATAATAATTTGAAAAATCCGTTCAAAAGGATTTTAACCACATTTTGGAAAAAGGAGCCAAAAAGACCCCTTTAGAACTCCCTTGAGGGTTGAAACTAAACCTAATCCCTGATTCCTTGTATTTTTTTATCAGAGATAGGTTTCTTTCACAATTTTGGACTTATGTGAAGTGGTACCAGTATATGGGAGCTGATATTGTCCATCTTCGAACTTCGATCTAATTTTTTCCAAAATATTACGACGTACCAAGTTTGGACGAAGTCGGCTACTCACTTCATTGACATGCCTACGAAGACTGCAAATATCCCGAAACGATATGGACATGGGGTCCAAAACTGGTGTATCTTTGAGGTATATTTTGACCTATCAAATGAGGGGGATACCGATATAGCCAGAAATGCCTTTCGAAATCATTTCATGGCGCCCAACCGACAAAGAAAGACATTTTCAAGAAAATTTCCTAAAATTTTATATAAAGGGTTCATTTTAGGCTGAGGCCTTTTGCCTAAAAATCGAATCTTTATTTGATGCAATATATTTTGTATTATACTCTGCCACAATTTACGATAAAATCTCCCAAGTGGAAACCCTCCATGTAAAAAATTAGTAATGTGGGTCCATGTTTTTGGTATAGCCTTCATATGAAGGTACCTCCTTATTTGAGCTATTTCCGGGGTCTTGATCAAACTTTCCAATTAAGTTGACTCTTATTTGGTGTCTCAGGGAGTTAAAAACCCCTTCGCACAATGAAAGTCAATGTTTTGGAATAGCCCTGGAAGATAGCTATTTCGACAATATTGGTTATTTTTTCTTTGAAAATGAGCAAGGAGTGGCCGTAACGTTACCGGGCAATGTCGAACGAATTTTTGTTCACAAAAATTGATGAGGAGGATATTGGCAGCGTTTGGTTTCCATTGTTAACCGGAAGTATTGTATTTTATAATAAAAAAAAGAAATTTGAAAAACATTCAGGAATTGTTTATAGCTTTTTTCAAAAAAGAAATTTTTAAAAGAATAATAATAATAATAATAATAATAATAATAATAATAATAATAATAATAAAAAATAATAATAATAATAATAATAATAATAATAATAATAATAATAATAATAATAATAATAATAATAATAATAATAATAATAATAATAATAATAATAATAATAATAACAAGTAAAAAAAAAACATTAAGTTCGGCCGGGCCGAACTTTTAATACTTTCCATCATTGGGTAAAGAAACACTTTTATATAAAAGCATCTGCATTTAGACCTGTTCCACTTTAAACTACAAATACCAGTAAGACCGTTTGGCCCTAAACTTTTCAGAAAACCATAAAGTGGGTGAGGTCGTTATATGGGGGCAATACCAAAATGGGCACCTCTATAGATAAATTTATGGTTCAAGGATTTTCATTTATCGGATCTTCTTAAATACTAAATATTAAACAATTTCTTGGGAAAATATGACTAGGATTATCAAAATACCAAATATCGGTGGGTATCGTTGAATATGCGCTATAGAAAATATTTTACCAAATTTTGGACAAATCCGTTGGAAAATGAGGCAAAAAATGAGGAGGTACCATTATGTGAGGGATACACAAAAACGTGGACCTATACATAGTATGTTCCGACAGAACAGCTCAAACCCATTACGAACTACAAATACCAATTGTTGGACAAACACGTGGAGAAATGCGCAAAAATCATTATTATACCGAATATCGGTAGGTACCGTTATATGGGGGCTATATCAAAACGTGGGCATATATATACAATGTTCCGGCACCGGAGCTAAAACCCATTATGAAGTACAAATACCACTTTTTAGATAAATCCGTGGAAAAATGCAGCAAAATTCATTAAAAAACCGAATATCGTTAGGTATAGTAATATGGCGGCTATGCCAAAATTTGGAAGATCTACGACAAATTATGTTGGCCGTATCGTGATTTCAACAGACAAACAGACGGACTTCGTTAATTCGACGTAGAATTTTATGCTTATCATGAATATACGGGTCTACGACAAATATTTAGGGATGTTACAAACGGAATGACAAAGTTAATATACCCTCTATTTCAAGGTGGAAGGTATAACAATGTTATTCGATGAATCCTCTGTTGGAACCGCAAAGCTCCAAATAGGTTTTTAATTCAAATACCAATTTTTATATTTCTTAGTATAGTCGCCGTATAAAAACTCACATTCTATAAGTTCCACAACTTAAAAATTCCGAAAATTGATGGCGATGGTATTCGGTCATTATTAAATATGAGGTCTAGATTAAATCGTTGACGTAACACAAAAAATGTATCTGCAGAGGGAATTCTTAAGCATTTATATCAATTGCATGTTTTTATACCCTCCACCATAGTATGGAGGGTATATTAAGTTTGTCATTCGGTTTGTAACACCTCGAAATATACATTTTAGACCCCACAAAGTATATATACTCGTGATCAGCATAAAATTCTATGTCGATTTAGCGATGTCCGTCCGTCTGTGGAAATCACTCTAGCTTTCGAACGAATTGAAACAGGTTAATAAAAGTTGACTCAAATGTATATTATATCTGCAGGACTTTAGGTATTGAAAATGGGCCATGGAGGTCCACGTTTTGGTGTAGCCCTCATATAATGGTACCTACCGATATTCAGTATTTTGATGATTTTAGCGACAATATTGATCGGAATTATTTCAGATTTGGTATTTGAAGTTCGTAATAGATACTACAGCCAATGACAGACAATTGTCTGTGTTGGTCCATGTCTTCGTATAGCCCCCACATAACGGTACCTCCCGATATTCGGTATTTTGATGATTTTAGCTACATTATTCACCGATTTTTTTAAGTTTCGCATTTGAATATTGTAATGGCTTATGACAAAAGTTACCTATGCAGGTCCATGTCGTCGCACCCAGCTACATTAGATATTATTAAGATGTTAACAGAATTTTAACGGATTTATTGTTTTTGAGAATTGCCAAATTCGTTCCAAATGGTGGAGGGTATTCAAAGTTCGGCCCGGCCGAACTTACAGCTTTTTATTTGTTTTTTTTTTTCAATATATTTTTTTCCAATCTTAACTTTCATATTTTTCTTCTTCTTTTGCAGGTCTTCCATATAAGGCTAGGTTCCTTAAAACAATTCAAACTAATGTGGAAAATGTAAACGGATAAACATTTTTGCAAAGGCAGCATCCACCTCTTGGTAAGTGATTTTTTTTTAGTATTTTCACTTTATTTTATTTGAAAACATAGATTACATCGCCAATTAATTTTATTTGCCGAACGCCATTCCCTTCATTCCACACACATATCGAGACACTCTTCTTTGGTACTGAAACGATTTTCATTGCCATGACAACCGCCGTAGTGGAAATAAATGCATTCCTTGGTATCGGCATTGTAAGTCCACGAAGGGATGATAGCTAGACAGCTTTGGCCCTGGCTATTGGCCGATTTGGAATGTTCCAGGCCGCATATGGCTAAAATTATAAAAAAATAAAATTAATCGAAGTGTAACTATTAAATAGCATGCGGCACTTACAATTTTTGAGGGCCACCGAGGAGTGCAGGAACACTGCAATGATGATTAGTAGGATTGCAAACAGCTTCATTTCTCCTCTTATTTTGATAAAAATTATTACAGAATAGATTTCTGTTATTGACTAACACGGATTTGGAATTGTCCCGGCTTTTATAGGCACAATTTTTGTATAGAGATCCACAAAAAATGCGATAAGAGTTCTTAGGTTGAAGACATGATTGCCTTTAATCAATATTTAATAGTCAATACACATATTGTATGGCTTAATTTTGAGGTGTTAATTTTATTTGTTACGGTTCAATGTGCGACAATTATCACCTTATTTTCAACAATAAAGCCATGGGGGAAATTTTTGATTTTTTTTTTAAAGTTGTCCAAAATGTAGGTTGTTCTATGAATTAGTCACTTTTGATAATTGAGAATTATTTTCTTTTTACAGCTCTTTTAAAAAACACAAATTTATAAAAAATAGATGACATTTATTTTGAGTTCCTTTAAAAATCATTCAAAAACAATTCAATTGCCACAATAAATCACATCTTCACTCAGCGCACATTTCGAGGCACTCTTCTTTGGTTCTGAAACGATTCTCATTGCCGTTGCAACCGCCATAGACGAAATGGATGCACTCCTTGGCATCGGCGTTGTAACTCCAAGACGGAATCATGGCATAACAGCTTGCACCAGCACTGTTGGTAGTTTTGGAATGTTCCAAGCCGCAAATGGCTAAAATTAATACAAAATCGTATTAAAATCCGATGCTAAATGTTCGATACTCTCAGTGTAACTTACTATTTTTAAGGGCCACAGAGGAATGCAGAATAACTGCAATGGCTATTAGGAGGATTGCAAAGATTTTCATTTTTTATGTCGATTAAAATTACTAACTCAAATAAAGCGGATTTAAATTTTTTGAGGCTTTTATAGAAAAAATGTTGATACTGAAATCCACAAAAATATGAGATAAGAGTTCTGAGGTGTACAATTGCATCGTTTAATTTTGAAGTGTAATACACACTTAAATGTTGTGGTTCGTTGAGATTAAATAGAAAATTGATATGCATGTATCGTGCCTTATTTCTAATATATAAAATCAAAAAATCAGCCGTTTCATTTTTATGGCGCTTGACTGCCTATATACAGGTTCCGCCATACAACTTTTGTTTTTGGAAATGCTATAAAAATATTACATAGTATTTTTTCAGATTTTTTTTTATTTTGCCATACTGTAGTCAACACCATTGCAGCTGAATTTCACCAATGGATTAACCAACATTGTCATTTAAAGCGTCAATTGTCTTTGACTTTTCGGCGTAACACCTATCTTTGACGAAACCCTACAAATAATAGTCCAGCGGTGTCAAATCGCGGCTCCGAGGTGGCCAACAGACATAAGGTATAAAACAGCGCCGTCCAGTTGAAATTAATATATTCCTCTTCAAATTTTGTAAAAAAAATTCGTTCAACATGACGCCTCCATTCCTTGCTCATTTTCGTAGAAAAATTGCCCAATTAGGCCTCTGGCCCAAAATTCCCAACAAAAAGTGAATCGTTTAGGGTGCATTGGTTTTTCAATGAATGCGTGCGGGGTTTCTGTGTCCCAAATGCGAACATTTAGCTTGTTTGTATACGGAGCTGACGAAGCTTCTATTCTTCTAAAATCTGTACATTTTTGCACAATTCTGCAACATTTGCATGATCAAACCATATTCGTTTGGCTAAAGGATAAAACTAATTATCTTTAAAATCTAACATTAGCTAAGTGTTACAAATCCCGAAATAAGCTCTAGTTTAAAATAAAAACGTTATATGTATTCTAAGTTTGTTATAGGTATAAATATTTTTAACGGAATTTCCTCCAAGTTAGAATTTTTGGGGATATTTTGATCATTTTAAATACAATTGCTTGATATTTCGTATTAAAAGTTCGAATGGTAAGAAATAATCTATGAAGTTCCAGGTTTCCATGTAACCCTTATATAACGGTGCCTCCCGATATTGGGTATTTTGATGTTTTTTACCTCACGAAAACTGGTATCTGAAATTTATGTTTGTATATCAATTTAAAGAAAATTCAGAGCTCTATATTCTACAAGTTCGTTTACCATCCAAAAACCCGCACAAGTATCACACCTTTCCTGGAATTGCAAAAAAAGACAAACATTTTGAAGATTTTAGTCCTGCTATTTAATCTTGGTCCTACCGATCTAACGGTTTGTCAACTATCAGCTAAATTTTGCATAAGATATACTTGTCCCTAACGTCGATGTTCTAAGCATAGTTCACATGTCATACTCTGTTTAGTAGTTCATAGTTTTCAAAGACTTACTACAATGTTTGGGATAGAGGTTTCTCAATTCTCACATTTCAATGAAAAATTGTCAAAAAGGAAAAATCGATATATTGACGTAGAGATGGTTCCAGCCAAATAAAACTTAAGAATGTCTTCATGTTTTGCATTCTTAACGCCAAGTTTCCGATTACCAAAGAAAACTTTCACAGTTTTGCGTTGGGTGAAAAGAGACTCGGAGAGTAACCTTGCTTATACAAAATTTGAAATATTATTTCAAAATTCGAATCACTTGATATTCAGATGTAAATCTCTTACTCGCTTACCAGTTCCTCAGTTTATGTTTTAAATTAAAACGCAATCTGAAATAAATGTTGGTAACTAAGAAATTTCTTGAGTATAAAGGAACCTTTCAATTACCCGCTGCTTCGCCAACGAAAAGTCCAATTTTAGATTCCTTCCATGGTACAATAAAAAGGTAAGGTAGAGCTACCAGCTGATTAAAATTTTTTCTAAGTGTGTCCCACTTCTGCCAATTTTGTGTATGTATTTATTGTTTTGAAAAATTAAAATAAAATATTTTCAAAACCAATGATTGGATTGGGGCTCGCACATTAAAGCTATTAACCAGTTTAGCCATGAAATTGAAAGATTGAACAGTTTGAATGATATTTTTGAGAGAAAAAAATGAAAACAACTTGTTGTATATAATTTTGAATGAGTCTGACAAAAAGCGGGCATAGCCTTAGGGCTGTATTTCTGGGCTGTTTACGAAGCTGTTCTACCTCCTTATTGTACCATGATTCCTTCCACCAATTCGCTTTTATCGCTTTATTCAAATTTGAGTTTTTCTTTGTCGAAAAGGATAATCGAAAAACGATGACTTTTTGCACCAAAAAGTCTTCAAAATATTTCGTTTTTAAGTTTACCGAACATAATATTAGTTAAACCCCTTCACAATGTTTCCAAATCCAATTTTTCATGCCAATAAAATTTCAAAGTCTTTTCATAATAAAAATTGGCCATATCTAAATCCTAAAAGCCACCAATGACCTCAATATCAAATTTCAATTCAATTCACTTCAATTTAGTATTATTTTGTACTTTTTGACCTTTCAAAAATCACCCCTTCACTAAACTACAGACACCAGCAGTAATCAATATCTATAAAAGAGGAAAATGTTTGTATGTTTGTTTGTTTGTTTGTAATTTATGGACTCGAAAACCGCTGAATAGATTTTCCTGAAAATTTCCATATATACTGCAACATCGCCTGAAAGTAACATAGGCTATACACATTTTTGAATTTCCACTTGGAACTGGAGATATAGCATCAGAATCGGAGGTACCTCCCAAAAATTTAGATTTTATATGTACATATCATATAACATATCCCCAATTTCAATGAAATTTGAAACGTGTGATAGATTTTATCTAAAAAATTGATTTCCCAAATTATATTGAAATCGGTTCAGATTTGGATATAGCTCCCATATATATATTATCGGCCGATTTCACATATTTGACGCACCAATTTCAATGAAATATGAAGTTGGGTGTAAAAGTATTTTTTTTTAATTATATTTAAATCGGATCAGATTGGGATATGATTTTAATAAGAACCATTGACCCGCAACGCCTTAGGCTAACACTAAAAAACAACGCAACAATTGATTTGAAATACGCTTATTACGGCGAAGAATGTTGCTATATCGAATTCACTTATTGCAATAGAAATGCCACTCAACTTCAAAAGATTGCAGTTTACTGCACGCTTGGTATTTGCTATGAAATAAATAAATCCGAAGGACAAACCCTTTGTGTATGTATGTCATGTTACTGCTTTTCTAATGGTTTTGGTTATTTACGCATTAAAGTAGTGCAATAATTTTTTTTAATTTTAAAATTTGTTTTTTTTTTAACCAACATATATTCGTAAATAAAATTTTGAATGCATATAAAATCAAAAGGGGTAGCAAAGCGCACCGGGTTCAGCTAGTATTCATATAAAATTTTAGGATTTCAGCTCTATCCCTTTGCCAAATACTAAATTTAGTACCATTTAGTTTTTGTCGTACAGTTACAGTACACGTTTTCAAAACAATTTCCATATCTCAATTCAAGATACCAACTTCAATATCAAATTTGAGGACTCTAGCCGTATCCCTCACCTTTTTGTACAAATATTGGACGCAGTTTCAAACCACCCCCAAATCTCAAATGCCATCAGTAATCTAACTATAAAAATTCAGAATTGTATGTTTATCCCTTCACCCAATACCAAATATAGTACCATTCAGTACTTTTCATAAAATCATAATACTCATTTGCAAAACCACCTTCATATCTTACACCCACAGCGACATATATATTAAAATTTTAGGATTTCAGTTTTATTCCTTTATCCAATACTAAATTTAGTATCATTTAGTACTTTTCGTACAATTATTACCACCATCTCCATATCTCAATTCCAGATACCAACAATATCAAATTTGAGGATTTCTGCCCTATCCCTTCACCCAATAATAAATTACAGTAGTTTTCCTACAATTACAGTACACATTTCCGAAACAAAGTTCATATGTCCAGGCTACACATAAATAGTGACCCTAATACAAAATTTAAGCACTCTCTGTTCACCCAATCCCTTTCCCAATAATGCTTTTTGTGAAAGCCACCCAATAAAAAATTTCAGCTTTATACGGTCGCCCTAAACCAAAATTTTACAAATCTAGTACTATGTAGTACAGTTCGCACAATTAGTCCACATTTTCAAAATCACTTGTTTTTTTTTTAAACAAAACAAACTTACCTTCTAACCTTGATTCTCATACCAAATTTTAAGTTTTTAGTTCTCTCCGTTCACATAATACCAAATGGTTCTATTTTAGAAGTTGAGTAAATTTTTGTAAACTTTAAGTTCGAAAACAAATATCCTGCTCTTCATCAGTGACTCTCATTCCAAATTTCAGAATTCTATCCCACTCCGTTTGTCCAATACAAAGTATTTAATGTTTAGTACATTTAGTTCGAGTTTCCAAAAGTCCAGCCTTATCAAACGCCTACGCACCAAAACTGACCTCGCTCAAAATTCGAGATTTTAGGTTCAGCCGTTTCTACTGGATGTTGATTCCCAGTCAGTCATTTATATAGAATAAAATTTTATGAACAAATTTCACCATGGAAATATTGATGTTTATGAATAATAGCCACACAAATTTTTTCACTTATTCCTGATTCAATTCCTATCGTTTTGTTCACTGAAATCCCCTCTTCTTGAAATAATTGACTTATTTTGGTGATATTGCCCATCAGTTGTTTTCGACAGCAATGTCTTGTATTTTATTAATTCTTTTCTTTTCCAACTTCTTTACTTATTGCTTGCACTTTTTCTCACATTCACTTTTGGTGGCAAAGTTATTGTCGTTGCCGCGGCAACCGCCGTAATTGAAGGCGACACATTCATTGGATTTGGCCACATAGGTGAAACGTTTCTGCGTAGCCCGACATTGGCCGATTTCCATGGGTGGTTGATCACAGGCAGCTAAAAATATGTGAATAATTAAACTGAATTATTAAAAAAAAAAATAAATAAATAAATAATAGTAAAGCTTACGATCTTTAGCTGCAGCCACACTCAAAACCATCAGGCAGAGGGCCAATAAAACAGCTACCAATTTCATTTTTGTCAAATATCTTGTCGAAGTTTCAAACTAGAAATAAAGCAGGGCTATGGAATGTTGGCCGTATTTATAAACATGGAATATGCAAATCGACAATGGACAACACATCACCTACACTTTGTTGTCTTGCTTTGGCGTTTAATTAATTATCGGTATTCGAATTCACAAAAATAAATGAAGCCGGTTTTGGTTTTGTGATCGGAAGAACGGTCACTGCCCTCTGCATGGAGAAATGGTAACAAGCAGTTTGGCATTATGTCATGATAGTGAAAGTTTTGAATTTGAATATTATGGAAAATAACAAATACTTTGTTTTTTTTGCCAAGAAATTAACCCCTTGAGACCCTGCAATACCAGGGAAAGGTATGTCCGCAAAGCCTGTAAACTAAATTTAAGGAAAGATAACTTTTTTATGACAATACGTCTTAAATTTCTGTTGAATTTCTGCTAAAACGCTCAAAGCGCATGCCTTTAGAACTTATATAATGCTATACAGGGTGATGTCAAAAAAACTGCAACCAACTTCAGACTGTTGTCATTTTTAAGCCACTCCTCCGACATCTGTTAAAATTATTCCAGTGACAGCTCATTATATTATTTACAAGCGCACAAAAAAATTTTGGTGAGAATTTTTCCGAAAAAAAATTATTCGTAATGTAATTCAAGCGTGATAGTGTGATCTCTTTATATTTGGCTGGAAAACCACAAGTGGCTATCGTTAGAGCACTCCAGCATTTAAATGTAAATAAATCGTTTGTGTCTCATACCATCGCTCGTTACCGTGCTTCCGTTACTGGTAGCGTAGCCCGACGTCAAAGAAGTGGAGGGAAGAAAACAGCAACATTAGCAGAAATGGTTCGAAAAATAAAGAAGCGATTTTATCGAAACCCGCGTTGCAGTAGCTAAAAAATGGCTCGTGAGCTGAACATAACGCAATATTCCATTCGGCAAATATTGAAAAATGATCTCGGGGTAAAGCCATTAAAATTCTAAAAAGTGCAAGAACTTACACCGCAAAAGAAAGAAAATAGACTCAAAAGAGCTAAAGAGTTGCTTCGCTTGGCCGAAAGTGGTAAACTGCCGAATTTGGTTTTCTCCGTCTCCGATGAGAAAACATTCGTTGTCCAGCAGTTTGTAAACAAACAAAATGATCGTGTTTACTTGCCAAAGAGGTCAGCTGAAAATGTGCAACTTCGGTTGGCCACCAGAACTCAAGCGTCGGCCATGGTGATGGTGTGGGTCGCCATAACAGCCGATGGTTGCTCTCCGCTCATATTAATCAAATGCCGAACATTATCATGAACATATTATGGAGGGTGTATTAAAGCCTTGGGCACGAAAACATTTTGGCCGCAGACCTTGGACATTCCAACAGGACTCAGCACCATAGCACTCAGCACGCGCCACCCAAGAATGTTTACAAAATGAGGTTCCTCGCTTCATTTCCAGCGCACAATGGCCACCAAAATCTCCGGATACCAATCCGTTGGCCTATTGTGTCTGGAGTATTTTGGAAAGCAAGGTTGGCACTAAAAAATACCAAAGTGTCGATCACCTCAAGCAAGCCCTCCGCTAGGAATGGGCGAAAATACCGCAGCAACAATTGGGCAGCATGTGACTGTTTCATTGGCCGCTTGAAGGCCATAATTCGTGCCAAAGCTAACCAATTCGAAAAAATCTAAACTTATTCTAAAATCGTAGGCTATATTCGGTATTTTTTGTTTTCAGTCAATAAAATTTAAAAAAGGAAAATATAAAAATTATGGCGTTTGACTTTGTTGCAGTTTTTTTTTTATCTCACTCTGAATATTCTCGTCTTACCTCAAGCTTTGTACAAGCCAACACCAATATATCAAGTTTCAAAACCTATTTTCAATTTTGTCAAATCGTGCATTATATCCAATTCTCTACAAAAATTTGTAATCGTTACAATTTTTCGCTTCTAAACTATCTTGCTTTCTATTTTAGAAATCCTGAATGTAGATGTCGTAGCAGACTTGTTTTGGCTTCAGCTTAGTATCTTTCCAAATTCCGGCTTTACTTATGAATATAGAAGTCATACCGACTGTTTTCTTTTGAAGTTGTTCGTTGGTTAATTGAGGGCAGGAAATTTGCCGAAAATTACTTAGCCTAGGCAGTCAATATGTATTTTAGCATTGCCTACTAAAAACATCAAAAATAGATGGCGCTCCAATGTCCCGAACTTTGTTCCTCATTGCATTTTCATTCAATTCCTACCCAACCAATTTTTTTTACTCTCTGCTGTTGATTCAATTTAAAACTCTTTCCCAATTTTAATTTTATTTTCTTTATTTATTTTGTTTATTCAACTCAAGAAATACTCTCAAAATCCAGCGGAGAATCATCATTCGTTAGAATCTGCTCTGGCACATCTGTAACTTCTTCTCTCTCATATTGTATCTCGACCACGCAACGTTTTTCACAATCTCTTTTGCTAAAGAATTTATTCTGATTTCCCAAACAGCCGCCATAGGCAAATTGAATGCATTCATTGAAATCGGGCAGATAGGTGTAGCGCAGAGAGGATGCTCGACATGGTCCTCGGTCGGCGGGTGGTAGTTTACAAATATCTACAAAAAAGTTGGAAGACACATTTAGTATTTTCTTAAAACAGGCGACAAAATCCGGTAATCACCTTTAAGGGCCAACACAAAGGACACCGATATTGAAAACACTAACAAAAATGTAATCGTTTTCATTTTATTATGCACTGCTTAACTTAAATCACTTCTAGACCGGTATAGACATAGACTGACTAGTTGTTTTAAAATGGATCTCATATTTATAAGAATTGTGCCCAGCATCCCGAACAAAGGATGTGGAAGATTTTTGCTAGGCAGCCCAAGTTTTTTTTTTCAGTCAGGAAGCTTTTGCTTCAAGGACATTTACAGCCTCAACAGCGAACAGTGTTTGGGGCCTGGAGAAATGAAGAAAAATTAAAATTAAATAGGAGAACTAAAGATTGAATAGAATCTTTGAACTTGAAATGTTATCATATATTTTTATGAATGATTCATAATTCCGGTTGTAACACAAATTGTAATTGGTATACAAATTTATACAACACGTTTTTAACTTCGTAATACTGTATTCACCCAGTGGTCATCGCTACTATGCTGTAATATTTCGATTCGTTTTATTACAGTTATTCAACCTGTTTCGCTGAAAACAAGTTCTACATTCGTAGCGAGCCCTTTAAGCAATGATGGGCATGTAAGTGGCACAGTGTGTCTCATACATAAACCACAAAAGTGATTTCCGATACGCCATAAGACCAAATAAAAGTGAAACTGAATCAATAATGTAAATCATGCTCTTCGTATGACAAATTTATTGTCGCAAATCTAAATATCTAATCCATGTAACAGCTGAGTTCCTACACTAAATGCTTCAAGAAAAATTCGAACAAATTGTATACTGATTTTCGATTGGAATGCCTCAACACATTGTATTTTATAAAACGAATATAGTGACAGATTCAGTCATATTTAAAGATAATTTTTAAGAGATTTTTCCGAAATTCGGATTTGTCCACAAAAAAATTTTAAAAAAATGTACTTTTTAAACATTTGTTATATACCGCACAATACTAGTCCTTGTCTCCGCTCTAATATTATGCAAACTTTTCTCTGGGAAATGCTCATTTGCTAGGCATTGGAATTAAGATGACGCTTGTTATGATATGAAATTTTTCAATTTCTATAAACTTTACTAGATAATACATTCTCAAAGTCCCTGACTCCTGCAAAATTTAATGATTTTAGGTTTTTTTGTTGTTGCAAAATAGTTAGGGTTAATTCCATAATTTTTATACCCTCCACCATAGTATGGAGGGTATATTAAGTTTGTCATTGCGTCTGTAATAGCTCGAAAAATACATTTTGGACCCTACAAGGAATATATATATATTCTTGATCAGCATAAAATTCTATGTCGATTTAGCGACGTTCGTTCGTCTGTCCTTTTGCCCGTGTGTGGAAATCACTGAAGCTTCCGAACGAAATGAAGTAGGTTGATCAAATTTTACTTAGATATATTTTATGTCTGCAGGACTTTTGGTATTGAAAATGGGCCATGTAAGTCCACGGTATAGCCTCCATATAATGGTATCTCCCTATTTTCGGTATTTTGGTGATAAAAGCGACATTATTCACTGGAAATGTTTCAAATTTGGTATTTAAAGTTCGTAATGGATACTACAGCCTGTGACAGAAAATTGTCTGTTCAGGTCCACGTTTTGGCATAACCAAAACGGCATTCGGTATTTTGATCATTTTAGCTACATTATTCACCGATTTTTTTCAAGTTTCGAATTTGAATATTGTAATGACTTATGACAACAGTTGCCACGCCGTCGTACAGACCCTAATATAACGGCTAATATAACGGCTACATTTTTAAGATTTCAACAGAATATTTAACGGATTTTAATTTTTTTAGAAAGAGATAATTTCATAGAGAAAGAGATAAGACAAATGCGATAGCTGATCAGTTCGAGTTACAAACATAGCTCACAGTAAAGAGTGAAACTAGCTCGAAGTACTCTTATGTCACACCAATAAGAAAAAGCGTTCTTTGCTAGATTTCGAGTGGAAGTAAAATGCACTCGAAATCGAAAAGATTCTGTTCTTGTAGAGTACTCTTTTAGTTTTTGTTATTCCGTTTTCCTGTTTGTAATTATGTGTGTTTTTTTTGCCCACTGCTGCACTGCGAAACAATAACAAACTCCTTAGCATGAGCATTGACCACAATAAAACAAGATAGTTTTTTTACTTTCGTGGTCTTGTACACAAAATCTGCCGGTGCATGCAACGTCAAAACTGTTTGTTACCAAACACACACACACAAACGTATGTATCAGCAAAGAAAAAAATATTCTATTCAAATATTCAATAAACTCATACTCTATTTCTTATAGTATTTTTACTCCCACACTTTTTTTCAAAGCAGAGTAATATGCAAGCACTCCCACATAAAACAAATGAGTGGAGAGTAAGTAAACTCTTTGATCACTCTTTGTATTTCGCAAGAAAATCGATCAAATTTGTGCTCTGGTTACAAATACCAAGTTACAAGTCTTACCAGCAGGTGGCGGTGCTTCAAATTATTTTATATTTTTTAAATACAATATTTCTGAAATGTATAAATATACCAGAAATGTATCAAGATTATACTCTTTCCTAGGCAAAATAACAAATTTACTACCATCCCAATAGCTCACGTTCCATAAATATTCTCAATCGAATAAAGTATTTGATCTGCTCTTTGATCTTCTGCTCATAGCATTGTTTTTTTTTTTCTTTTCTATTCCTCGTGTTGAAGTAATTTAAGCTATTTGCTCCACTGTGTTGGAATGCAACGAACAGACAACCCATGTAATTACAGTAACCAAGAATGCAATCAATTTCAATATTTTGATCACATTAAGAACCTGTTTCATTTAAGTGATGTCCCTTCCATCTACATCTATAGTACAATTGGAGGGGTTATTTATTTTGGATCATTCATTTCTGGTTTTTATATTTAAACGGAAGCTGTCCAGGCAAGGGCAAAGGGACGGCAATGCAACGCCTTATATTTCCACCTGTTTTCTGGTGAATATTTTACATTGGTCGTACGCTGTAAGGAAATGCATTGTTCAACATTAACTGTACATACTGTTGAATTTTGCGAACTTTACGTGGTTGATAATCTTATGCTGATATAGAACTTGAAATGACTATGAATTGAATTTATATTTAAAGATTTAAATAGTTGAACACAATTAGTTATTCCCTTATGCCTTATGGCTACAGAGGCTCAGTACAGAGTATCATTTGGTCCGATGAAAATGTGTCTCATACATATGACGGTTTTTGACCCCCTGCTTCTTTGGACAAAATCCATTTTAGGAAAAACTTTCAGACCAACAATAAAAACTTTTTAAAAATATTTTTTCAAGTACCTCCTGTCCGCAAAAAGTGTTTTCATATTTTTCACAAATTTTCGGTTCAAGAATTCAGGTATATAAATCTGGTTATTCAAACATTTTTCAAGCTCTTTCGTGGATAACTCTCTAAGGGAGTATTCTATTTGGTTCACACTTGGTACATCATAATATTTTTTATTAAATTTAGATCGAGTTCGGAGATGGGCAATATCCTTCTGGTACCTCCCACATAAAAGGTCGATAATTTTCAAAAAAAAAAAAAAAAAAAAAAGACTGCACAGAAAGACAACGGATAATCCAATTTTGCTCCAACTTTGCAAATCCCAATATTTGCATCAGTACTAGGTCGGGTGTTAAAATGGACAATATCGGTCCACTCCATCAAATACCTCCCCCACACAGGGAAAATTTTTAATAATTATAACTTCAAAAAATTTTTAATCATTATAACTTTTTTAAAATGAGATCTAAAAGTCCGATTGTCTTCAAATTACCCGCATCACAATATTTTTTATTGACCCAAGGTCTGGTGTGTTGATGGGATATATCGGTCCACTCCTTCTGGTACCCATCCCACAAATAATCAAAATTTTGAATATCCATGAAGCTCATAAACTGCGAACTTAACATCCGACTCCATTCAGACTTGGTACGTCTCAATATTTCCATGCTATAAAGATAATAGAGATCGAACCTTTCCTTCTGATACCTCCCCCACAAAGGGTGAAAGTATTGAATACCCAAAACGATTATAAAATCCAAATAAGCATCTGGTTCTCTTCATATTTCACACATCGCATTATATCTACTAACACAAGATCCTCTGTGAGGATGTTATATATCGGTCCACTCCTTCTGGTACCTCTCCCACAAAGGGTACAAATTTTGAATATCCAAGAAGCTCATAAAACGCGAGATTCACATTATTTTTACTAACACAATATCTGCTGTAAAAATGGGATATATCGGTCCACTCCTTCCGGTACCTCCCCCACAAAGGTTTAAAATTTTCAATACTTTTATCTGCGAAATTTACTTTTTTATGCGAAACTAATATCCAATTCCTTTCAGACTTTCCAATATTTCCATCAACACAAGATCTGTTATAAAGATGATACAGATCGGACTATTTCTTCTGGTACCTCCCTCACAAAGGGTCAAAGTATTGAAGAACCAAAACGATTATAAAATCCGAAATAAGCATTCGGTTCTCTTAATATTTCACACATCCCATTAATTCTTCCGACACAAGATCTTCTGTAAAAATGGGATATATCGGTCCACTCCTTGTGGTACCTCACTCACAAAGTTTTACAATTTTCGATACTTTTATCTGTTATAATTTGCGAAACAAGTTGGTGATTCTTTACAACTTACTATATCTAAATATTTCTTTCAACCAGAAACCAGATATTCATGACTTCGCATAAATTGTCCGATTTCCTTGTTATTTTTCCCATACCTATCTGAATTAGATGAAGCATGAAAAGGGAATACTTCGGTTGACTTTCACATATCTCATATAAAGTGAAAGACGTAACCAATATTGTCCAAACCTGGCACGTCTCAATATTTATATCATATTCATTTATGTCCGATACGAAATAGACAATATTGGCCCATTTCTTAGGAACCTACTTCATAGAGGGTCAACAGTTTAAATAATCATAACAAGAGTCAAAATATATTTAAATCTTCGAACATTGGCTGAGGGTATACATCTGTAGGCAAAACCGACTGATACTTTCTAACTCGTTTTAATAAAAACTTCATCACTTTTCTTTCATTTCATATTTATTGTTAATTTTATTCGTCAATTATTCTTTGCACTTTTCTTCACATTCTTCCTTTGTGGCAAAATTGTTGTCATTTCCGTGGCAGCCGCCATAGACGAATGAAATGCATTCATTTGATGCGGCATTATAGGTAAATTTCGGTATCTCAGCACGACAGATTCCAATCACTGCGGAGGGCTGACCGCAAATGGCTGCAATGAAAATGGAATACAATGAATTTTAACATTGAAAATATTTTTGAAAAATAATAAATTACAATCCTTAAACGACACGGATATCGAAATAAGTGATAACATAAATGCAAGGTATATCAGTAATTTCATTTTCAAGAGGTGTGTAGATGTGTTACTTCGTGGGCGAAGTGTGTTTGGCAACTGAAGTGTACTTTTCTCATGTTCTGGTTATTTATAAACTGCAGTCGTCTTTATTCGTATTCAGAGGCTACCTGAATTTGTTCATTCTAAGGATATTTGAACTATTTAAAGCAGTGATAAGGCAATGTTTGTAGATTGATAAGATATTGTGTGCAATGATAGGCCAGCACAGGCATGTTGAGAAAACGAAATCATTTTCATATTGACAAACACTCGTGATAGGTGAGACGACTATTGTGTTTAAAATTTACAAACATTTCCGGTTACAAAACGTTTGTCCACTTCGGGAAGCCAAATATCCAAGTATTGTTAAATCATCAAAAAATTGTAAATCTCAAGCCTTATCCAAAATTATTTAAAAATGTTCCGAAAATGCCGAAGAATCTTCATTTAAGATATTCTACAATCCTTAATTTTGTTAAAATAGAAATGTACAGGGTGAGATGAAAAAAACTACAAACAACTTCAGACTGCTGTCATTTCTAAGCCACTTGTCCGACAGCTGTTAAAATTATTCCAGTGACAGATCAATATATTGTTTACAAGCGTACAAAAACATTTTTGTGAGAACCAGAAAAACAAAAAAAACTTATTCGTGATGGAATTCAAGCGTGATAGTGTGATTTCTTTATATTTGGCTGGAAAACCACAAGTGACTATCGTTAGGGCACTACAGCATTTAAATGTGAATAAATCTTTTGTGTCTCGTACCATCGCTCGTTACTGGGATACTGGTAGCGTAATCCGACATATGTCATGGAAGTGGACGGAAGAAAACAGCAACATCAGCAGAAATGGTTCGAAAAGTAAAGAAGCGACTAGATCGAAATTCGCGCTGCAGTGGCCGAAAAATGGCTCGTGAGCTGAACATATCGCAATATTCCATTTGGCAAATATTGAAAAATGAGCTCGGGGTAAAGCCATTGAAATTCCAAAAAGTTCGAGAACTTACACCGCAACAGAAAGAAAATATACTCAAAAGAGCTAAAGAGTTGCTTCGCTTGAAAGTGGTGAACTGCCGAATTTGGTTTTCTCCGTCTCCGTTGAGAAAACATTCGTTGTTTGTAAACAAACAAAATTATCGTGTTTACTTGCCAAAGAAGCCAGCTGAAGATGTGCACCTTCGGTTGGCCACCAGAACTCATGCGCCGGCCATGGTGATGGTGTGGGCCGCCATAACAGCCGATGGTCACTCTCCGCTCGTATTAATCGACCGTGGCATCAGAATAAATGCCGAATATAATCGTGAAAATATTCTGGAGGGAGTATTATAGACTTGGGCACGCAAACATTTTGGCCGCAGATCGCACTCAGCAAGTGCTACCCAAGAATGGTTACAAAATGAGGTTCCTCACTTCATTTCCAGCGCACAATGGCCCCCAAAATCTCCGGGTACCAATACTTTGGACTATTGTGTCTGGAGTGTTTTGGAAAGCAAGGTTGGCACTAAAAAATACCAAGGTGTCGATCACCTCAAGCAAGCGCTTCGACGGGAATAGGCCAAAATACCGCAGAGCAACATTCCGGCAGCGTGTGACAGTTTCATAATTCGTGCCAAAGGTGACCAATTCGAACAATTCTAACCTTATTCTAAAATTTGATGCTATTTCCGAATTTTTTTGCATTCATTCAATAAAATAAAAAAAATAAAAATTATGAAATTCGACTTTGTTGCAGTTTTTATCTCACCCTATGAATGTCTTAAAATAAAAAATATAAAAAATATGAATCTAGATATCAACTTACGATCCTTTAAGGCCAATGAAGTTGAGAAAAAGGCCAAGAGTACAGTCAACAAAAAGGCGAAAACTTTCATTTTTTTTGATAGAAATAATCTAGTGTTTTTTGTTTAATATTTCAAATGCAACTAAAGTAATTTCATTTAATTATCACTTATATGGCGATGTACAAACATATGCATACACACATATTATGACATTTTGTATTTTGCTGTCGTCGGCTTTTTGTCAATCTGAGAGAATTTGAAAAAATGCGAATACCAAAGGTCAAAATTAAGATAAGCTTGTTCAATTTGTTTTCTGTTTTCCTAGTCAAAGCTAAGCTTGAATACATGAAATCATGATAATAATTTTAAAAACTATTCTAAAATTGAACAATTTTTGGAAACGCAAATTTTAAATTAAATCTCTTAAGGGAATTGTTTTTATAATGAAATTGGTTGAAAAAATAGGGAATTTTAAAATGGCCATAGCTCCTTAAATATTGACATTTCGGGGTTTTTAGCATGTTTTAAATTGCAGTTTCTTAAAGAGGAAAAAAGGGTGTTTTACAATGACCATAACTCCTAAAATATTGACATTTCGGGGTTTTTAGCATGTTTTAAATTGCAGTTTCTTTAAGAGGAAAAATAGGGTATTTTAAAATGGCCATAGCTCCTTAAATATTGACATTTCGGGGTTTTTAGCATGTTTTAAATTGCAGTTTCTTTAAGAGGAAAAAAGGGTATTTTACAATGACCATAACTCCTTAAATATTGACATTTCGGGGTTTTTAGCATGTTTTAAATTGCAGTTTCTTAAAGAGGAAAAATAGGGTATTTTAAAATGGCCATAACTCCTTAAATACTGATATTTCGGGGTTTTTAGCATGTTTTAAATTGCAGTTTCTTAAAGAGGAAAAATAGGGTATTTTAAAATGGCCATAACTCCTTAAATATTGACATTTCGGGGTTTTTAGCATGTTTTAAATTGCAGTTTCTTTAAGAGGAAAAATAGGGTATTTTAAAATGGCCATAACTCCTTAAATATTGACATTTCGGGGTTTTTAGCATGTTTTAAATTGCAGTTTCTTTAAGAGGAAAAATAGGGTATTTTAAAATGACCATAACTCCTTAAATATTGACATTTCGGAGTTTTTAGCATGTTTTAATTTGCAGTTTTCTAAAGAGGAAAAATAGGGTATTTTAAAATGGCCATAACTCCTTAAATATTGACATTTCGGGGTTTTTAGCATGTTTTAAATTGCAGTTTTCTAAAGAGTAAAAATAGGGTATTTTAAAATGGCCATAACTCCTTAAATACTGACATTTCGGGGTTTTTAGCATGTTTTAAATTGCAGTTTCTTTAAGAGGAAAAATAGGGTACTTTAAAATGACCATAACTCCTTAAATATTGTCATTTCGGAGTTTTTAGCATGTTTTAATTTGCAGTTTTCTAAAGAGGAAAAATAGGGTATTTTAAAATGGCCATAACTCCTTAAATATTGACATTTCGGGGTTTTTAGCATGTTTTAAATTGCAGTTTCTAAAAGAGGAAAAATAGGGTATTTTAAAAAGGCCAATTGTAGTTTCTTAAAGAGGAAAAATAGGGTATTTTAAAATGGCCATAACTCCTTAAATATTGACATTTCGGGGTTTTTAGCATGTTTTAAATTGCAGTTTTCTAAAGAGGAAAAATAGGGTATTTTAAAATGGCCATAACTCCTTAAATATTGACATTTCGGGGTTTTTAGCATGTTTTAAATTGCAGTTTTCTAAAGAGGAAAAATAGGGTATTTTAAAATGGCCATAACTCCTTAAATATTGACATTTCGGGGTTTTTAGCATGTTTTAAATTGCAGTTTCTTAAAGAGGAAAAATAGGGTATTTTAAAATGGCCATAACTCCTTAAATAGGGTATTTTAAAATGGCCATAACTCCTTAAATATTGACATTTCGGGGTTTTTTGCATGTTTTAAATTGCAGTTTTCTAAAGAGGAAAAATAGGGTATTTTAAAATGGCCATAACTCCTTAAATATTGACATTTCGGGGTTTTTAGCATGTTTTAAATTGCAGTTTTCTAAAGAGGAAAAATAGGGTATTTTAAAATGGCCATAACTCCTTAAATAATGACATTTCGGGGTTTTTAGCATGTTTTTAATTGCAGTTTTCTAAAGAGGAAAAATAGGGTATTTTAAAATGGCCATAACTCCTTAAATATTGACATTTCGGGGTTTTTAGCATGTTTTAAATTGCAGTTTTCTAAAGAGGAAAAATAGGGTATTTTAAAATGGCAATAACTCCTTAAATATTGACATTTCGGGGTTTTTAGCATGTTTTAAATTGCAGTTTTCTAAAGAGGAAAAATAGGGTATTTTAAAATGGCAATAACTCTTTAAATATTGACATTTCGTTTTAAATTGCAGTTTTCTAAAGAGGAAAAATAGGGTATTTTAAAATGGCCATAACTCCTTAAATATTGACATTTCGGGGTTTTTAGCATGTTTTAAATTGCAGTTTTCTAAAGAGGAAAAATAGGGTATTTTAAAATGGCCATAACTCCTTAAATATTGACATTTCGGGGTTTTTAGCATGTTTTAAATTGCAGTTTTCTAAAGAGGAAAAATAGGATATTTTAAAATGGCCATAACTCCTTAAATATTGACATTTCGGGGTTTTTAGCATGTTTTAAATTGCAGTTTTCTAGAGAGGAAAAATAGAGTATTTTAAAATGGCCATAACTCCTTAAATATTGACATTTCGGGGTTTTTAGCATGTTTTAAATTGCAGTTTTCTAAAGAGGAAAAATAGGTTATTTTAAAATGGCCATAACTCCTTAAATATTTACATTTCGGGGTTTTTAGCATGTTTTTAATTGCAGTTTTCTAAAGAGGAAAAATAGGGTATTTTAAAATGGCCATAACTCCTTAAATATTTACATTTCGGGGTTTTTAGCATGTTTTTAATTGCAGTTTCTTAAAGAGGAAAAATAGGGTATTTTAAAATGGCCATAACTCCTTAAATATTGACATTTCGGGGTTTTTAGCATGTTTTAAATTGCAATTTTCTAAAGAGGAAAAATAGGGTATTTTAAAATGGCAATAACTCCTTAAATATTGACATTTCGGGGTTTTTAGCATGTTTTAAATTGCAGTTTCTTAAAGAGGAAAAATAGGGTATTTTAAAATGACCATAACCAAAGACATAGAGGTGTAAAGATGGGACAAGACAGAGTCAAGATATGGCAACCCTGTGAAAATACCTCTGTTGTTATGATATCGTAACAACATAGTTAGCAATGTTAAGCGATTAAAACTGCTTAGGCAATATGCAATTAACTGGGAAAGTCTATGGAGTAAAATTTTGAAACCCAATTTTTGGATTTTTCAAATTTTTGTTTGTCTTATATTTCTATAAATGGGTTTTTTATATTAACATGGTCCTGTCCTAAGCTGTTATCTGGATAGTATAGACACAAACCATTTGCTCAAAATGCATTTTGTCTAGTCTTTACCATTTTAGGTCTTTGCCATAACTCCTTTAATTTTGACATTTCGGGGTTTTTAGCATGTTTTAAATTGCAGTTTCTTAAAGAGGAAAAATATGGTATTTTAAAATGGCCATAACTCCTTAAATATTGACATTTCGGGGTTTTTAGCATGTTTTAAATTGCAGTTTCTTAAAGTGGAAAAATATGGTATTTTAAAATGGCCATAACTCCTTTAATTTTGACATTTCGGGTTTTTTGGCATGTTTTAAATTGCAGTTTCTTAAAGAGGAAAAATAGGGTATTTTAAAATGGCCATAACTCCTTAAATATTGACATTTCGGGGTTTTTAGCATGTTTTAAATTGCAGTTTCTTAAAGTGGAAAAATATGGTATTTTAAAATGGCCATAACTCCTTTAATTTTGACATTTCGGGTTTTTTGGCATGTTTTAAATTGCAGTTTCTTAAAGAGGAAAAATATGGTATTTTAAAATGGCCATAACTCCTTAAATATTGACATTTCGGGGTTTTTAGCATGTTTTAAATTGCAGGTTCTTAAAGAGGAAAAATAGGGTATTTTAAAATGGCCATAACTTCTTTAATTTTGACATTTCGGGGTTTTTAGCATGTTTTAAATTGCAGTTTCTTAAAGTGGAAAAATATGGTATTTTAAAATGGCCATAACTCCTTTAATTTTGACATTTCGGGTTTTTTAGCATGTTTTAAATTGCAGTTTCTTAAAGAGGAAAAATAGGGTATTTTAAAATGGCCATAACTCCTTAAATATTGACATTTCGGGGTTTTTAGCATGTTTTAAATTGCAGTTTCTTAAAGAGGAAAAATAGGGTATTTTAAAATGGCCATAACTCCTTAAATATTGACATTTCGGGGTTTTTAGCATGTTTTAAATTGCAGTTTCTTAAAGTGGAAAAATATGGTATTTTAAAATGGCCATAACTCCTTTAATTTTGACATTTCGGGTTTTTTGGCATGTTTTAAATTGCAGTTTCTTAAAGAAAGGAAAAATAGGGTATTTTAAAATGGCCATAACTCCTTAAATATTGACATTTCGGGGTTTTTAGCATGTTTTAAATTGCAGTTTCTTAAAGTGGAAAAATATGGTATTTTAAAATGGCCATAACTCCTTTAATTTTGACATTTCGGGTTTTTTGGCATGTTTTAAATTGCAGTTTCTTAAAGAGGAAAAATAGGGTATTTTAAAATGGCCATAACTCCTTAAATATTGACATTTCGGGGTTTTTAGCATGTTTTAAATTGCAGTTTCTTAATGTGGAAAAATATGGTATTTTAAAATGGCCATAACTCCTTTAATTTTGGCATTTCGGGTTTTTTGGCATGTTTTAAATTGCAGTTTCTTAAAGAGGAAAAATAGGGTATTTTAAAATGGCCATAACTCCTTAAATATTGACATTTCGGGGTTTTTAGCATGTTTTAAATTGCAGTTTCTTAAAGTGGAAAAATATGGTATTTTAAAATGGCCATAACTCCTTTAATTTTGACATTTCGGGTTTTTTGGCATGTTTTAAATTGCAGTTTCTTAAAGAGGAAAAATAGGGTATTTTAAAATGGCCATAACTCCTTAAATATTGACATTTCGGGGTTTTTAGCATGTTTTAAATTGCAGGTTCTTAAAGAGGAAAAATAGGGTATTTTAAAATGGCCATAACTCCTTTAATTTTGACATTTCGGGGTTTTTAGCATGTTTTAAATTGCAGTTTCTTAAAGAGGAAAAATAGGGTATTTTAAAATGGCCATAACTCCTTTAATTTTGACATTTCGGGTTTTTTGGCATGTTTTAAATTGCAGTTTCTTAAAGAGGAAAAATAGGGTATTTTAAAATGGCCATAACTCCTTAAATATTGACATTTCGGGGTTTTTAGCATGTTTTAAATTGCAGTTTCTTAAAGAGGAAAAATAGGGTATTTTAAAATGGCCATAACTCCTTTAATTTTGACATTTCGGGTTTTTTGGCATGTTTTAAATTGCAGTTTCTTAAAGAGGAAAAATATGGTATTTTAAAATGGCCATAACTCCTTAAATATTGACATTTCGGGGTTTTTAGCATGTTTTAAATTGCAGGTTCTTAAAGAGGAAAAATAGAGTATTTTAAAATGGCCATAACTCCTTTAATTTTGACATTTCGGGGTTTTTAGCATGTTTTAAATTGCAGGTTCTTAAAGAGGAAAAATAGAGTATTTTAAAATGGCCATAACTCCTTTAATTTTGACATTTCGGGGTTTTTAGCATGTTTTAAATTGCAGTTTCTTAAAGAGGAAAAATAGGGTATTTTAAAATGGCCATAACTCCTTTAACTTTGACATTTCGGGTTTTTTGGCATGTTTTAAATTGCAGTTTCTTAAAGAGGAAAAATAGGGTATTTTAATATGGCCATAACTCCTTTAATTTTGACATTTCGGGGTTTTTAGCATGTTTTAAATTGCAGTTTCTTAAAGAGGAAAAATAGGGTATTTTAAAATGGCCATAACTCCTTTAATTTTGACATTTCGGGTTTTTTGGCATGTTTTAAATTGCAGTTTCTTAAAGAGGAAAAATAGGGTATTTTAAAATGGCCATAACTCCTTTAATTTTGACATTTCGGGGTTTTTAGCATGTTTTAAATTGCAGTTTCTTAAAGAGGAAAAATAGGGTATTTTAAAATGGCCATAACTCCTTTAATTTTGACATTTCGGGTTTTTTGGCATGTTTTAAATTGCAGTTTCTTAAAGAGGAAAAATAGGGTATTTTAAAATGGCCATAACTCCTTAAATATTGACATTTCGGGGTTTTTAGCATGTTTTAAATTGCAGTTTCTTAAAGTGGAAAAATATGGTATTTTAAAATGGCCATAACTCCTTTAATTTTGACATTTCGGGTTTTTTGGCATGTTTTAAATTGCAGTTTCTTAAAGAGGAAAAATAGGGTATTTTAAAATGGCCATAACTCCTTAAATATTGACATTTCGGGGTTTTTAGCATGTTTTAAATTGCAGTTTCTTAAAGAGGAAAAATAGGGTATTTTAAAATGGCCATAACTCCTTAAATATTGACATTTCGGGGTTTTTAGCATGTTTTAAATTGCAGTTTCTTAAAGAGGAAAAATAGGGTATTTTAAAATGGCCATAACTCCTTTAATTTTGACATTTCGGGTTTTTTGGCATGTTTTAAATTGCAGTTTCTTAAAGAGGAAAAATAGGGTATTTTAAAATGGCCATAACTCCTTTAATTTTGACATTTCGGGTTTTTTGGCATGTTTTAAATTGCAGTTTCTTAAAGAGGAAAAATAGGGTATTTTAAAATGGCCATAACTCCTTAAATATTGACATTTCGGGGTTTTTAGCATGTTTTAAATTGCAGTTTCTTAAAGTGGAAAAATATGGTATTTTAAAATGGCCATAACTCCTTTAATTTTGACATTTCGGGTTTTTTGGCATGTTTTAAATTGCAGTTTCTTAAAGAGGAAAAATAGGGTATTTTAAAATGGCCATAACTCCTTAAATATTGACATTTCGGGGTTTTTAGCATGTTTTAAATTGCAGTTTCTTAAAGAGGAAAAATAGGGTATTTTAAAATGGCCATAACTCCTTAAATATTGACATTTCGGGGTTTTTAGCATGTTTTAAATTGCAGTTTCTTAAAGAGGAAAAATAGGGTATTTTAAAATGGCCATAACTCCTTTAATTTTGACATTTCGGGTTTTTTGGCATGTTTTAAATTGCAGTTTCTTAAAGAGGAAAAATAGGGTATTTTAAAATGGCCATAACTCCTTAAATATTGACATTTCGGGGTTTTTAGCATGTTTTAAATTGCAGTTTCTTAAAGAGGAAAAATAGGGTATTTTAAAATGGCCATAACTCCTTTAATTTTGACATTTCGGGTTTTTTGGCATGTTTTAAATTGCAGTTTCTTAAAGAGGAAAAATATGGTATTTTAAAATGGCCATAACTCCTTAAATATTGACATTTCGGGGTTTTAGCATGTTTTAAATTGCAGTTTCTTAAAGAGGAAAAAATAGGGTATTTTAAAATGGCCATAACTCCTTAAATATTGACATTTCGGGGTTTTTAGCATGTTTTAAATTGCAGTTTTCTAAAGAGGAAAAATAGGGTATTTTAAAATGGCCATAACTCCTTAAATATTGACATTTCGGGGTTTTTAGCATGTTTTAAATTGCAGTTTTTAATGAGGAAAAATAGGGTATTTTAAAATGGCCATAACTCCTTAAATATTGACATTTCGGGGTTTTAGCATGTTTTAAATTGCAGTTTCTTAAATAGGAAAAATAGGATATTTTAAAATGGCCATAACTCCATAAATATTGACATTTCGGGGTTTTTAGCATGTTTTAAGTTGCAGTTTTCTAATGAGGAAAAATGGGGTATTTTAAAATGGCCATAACTCCTTAAATATTGACATTTCGGGGTTTTTAGCATGTTTTAAATTGCAGTTTTCTAAAGAGGAAAAATAGGGTATTTTAAAATGGCCATAACTCCTTAAATATTGACATTTCGGGGTTTTAGCATGTTTTAAATTGCAGTTTCTTAAAGAGGAAAAAATAGGGTATTTTAAAATGGCCATAACTCCTTAAATATTGACATTTCGGGGTTTTTAGCTTGTTTTAAATTGCAGTTTTCTAAAGAGGAAAAATAGGGTATTTTAAAATGGCCATAACTCCTTAAATATTGACATTTCGGGGTTTTTAGCATGTTTTAAATTGCAGTTTTCTAAAGAGGAAAAATAGGGTATTTTAAAATGGCCATAACTCCTTAAATATTGACATTTCGGGGTTTTAGCATGTTTTAAATTGCAGTTTTCTAAAGAGGAAAAATAGGGTATTTTAAAATGGCCATAACTCCTTAAATATTGACATTTCGGGTTTTTTACCATGTTTTAAATTGCAGTTTCTTAAAGAGGAAAAATAGGGTTTTTAAAATGGCCATAACTCCTTAAATATTGACCTTTCGGGGTCTTTTGCATGTTCCCAAATATTCAAATTTTTGCCAGAATATTAGTTTGTAGATACCGAATAGAGGAGGAAAAACACATTTTTTTTTATATTTATTTTATTCGATTTATTATTTCCTTTACAATGCTATATAGGTATTAACTATTAATTGTTTATATATTTCCTAATTTATACAAGAATACATATTTGGAGTTAAAAATAAAGTCTAGCATGAAAATAGATAATAAAAGTTCTTAATTAATTTCAAGAAAATCTAGGTTTTAGCAAGTCATGTATTTATTTTAATTTATATGGAATTTATTCAGAATATATATATTTTTTTAATATATGATAAAATTATTTGCTTTTATATTTTTTTTATTTTCTTTTCTGTTATTGAAATATGTTATATATTCGTTATATAAGGCTTTACATAAATATACATGCTTATATAATATTTTTACTTTTTTCCAAATTTTTATTTCGTTATTCTAAATTATTTACAAATGACGTAGTTCATAAATAAATGAAACATGGTTTTAATTAATGAATACTTAAATTAATTGGAAATACAATATGCCACAAATGATCGACGGATATCTTCAAGGGAAAATAGATGCGAAAGAGCCGGATATTTTTTCGGATTTAATGATAATTTTGGTTATTCAAAATTTTGACCCTTTGTGGGGAAGGTACCAGAAGGAATGGTCCGATCTCTACCATCTTTATAACAGATCTTGTATTGATGGAGATATCCTAAGTCTGAATAAAATCGGATCTTAATTTCACGTTTTATGAGCCTCATGGATATTCAACAATTTGACCTCTTTGTGGGTGAGGTACCAGAAGGAGTGGACCAATATGTCCCATGTTCTCAGCTGATCTTGTGTTAGTAAAAACAATGGTTTGTCTGAAATTTATAGGAGACCTGATGCTTATTGCGGATTTTATGATAGTTTTGGTTATTCAAACTTTTAACCCTTTGTGGGGAGGTACCAGAAGGAATAGTGCGATCTCTACCATATTTATAACAGATCTTGTATTGATGGAAATATTTAGATATCCCAAGGAATCGGATCATAATTATGGACTTCATGGATATTCAAAATTTTACCCTTTGTGGGGGAGGTACCAGAAGTAGTTGACCGATATATCCCATATTTACAGCAGATCTTGTCTTAGTCAAGATAATGGGATGTATGAAAAATTAAGAGAACCGGATGCTTATTTCGAATTTTATGATCGTTTTGTTTATCCAAAAGTTTGACCCTTTGTGGGGAAGGTACCAGAAGGAATGGTTCGATCTCTACTGTCTTTATAACAGATCTTGAATTGATGGAAATATTCAGATATCCCCAGCTTGAAAGGGAATCGGTTCTCAATTTTACGATTTATGAGCTTCTTGTGGGGGACGTACATGATGGAGTGGACCGATATATCGCATCTTCACAGCATGAGTTATTAAAAATATTGTGATGTGTGTAATTTGAAGACGATGGGATACTTACATCACATTTTATAAGATTTATAATTATTCAAAATTTTGACCCTTTGTGGGGGAAGTACTTGATGGAGTGAACCGATACTGTCAATTTTCGCACCTGATCTAGCATTGATGCAAATACTAGGATTTGCAAAGTTGGAGCAAAATTTAATTATGCTTTCCCTTTCTGTGCAGTAAAATATTTCCTTTGAAATTTCGCCCTGGGGGAGGTACCAGAAGGAGTGGACCGATATTTCCCATCTCCGAACTTGATCTAAGTTTAATAACAATATTCCGATGCACGAAGTTTGGACTAAAACGAATACTTCCTTCGAGACATCGGACGGACATCGCTAGATCGACAAAAAATGTCCTGAATTGGATTTTGTCAAAGAGGCCTATTGCCTAAAATCGTTATTTCGATGAGGCACGTTTTGCCCGTACTAAATGATACCCTTCGTAGCCATATGGCTGAGGGTATAGAAAGTCTCCAACGTTTTTAAACATCATTTTGAAAAAAAATAGTTTTGTTTTGATGTGCCCAATTGTTTTTAGGATCTCTAGATCGGATATTAATTTTAAAATTTATTTTTTAGAGATTTGACTTTGACGATTGTTTTAAATTTATCCACCACAGTATGGAGGGATGTTAAGTTTGTCATTCTGTTTGTAATATCTCTAGATAAACATAAAGTATCTATAGATTTTAGCTATATTTTTCAACAAAATTATCTTAAACATGGTTTTTGGATTTTAAAATTGGCACACCATCGCAGGCAGATAATGGGATGTAAAGGTCCACGTTTTCCTATAACCCCATCACTTGATATTCGGATTTTTAAAATTATAGCGACATTTTTCAATGAAATGGTTTTTGCAATTTACCAGGACCTTACAAATCGTGGAGAGTATTAAAAGTTCAGACCCGGCAAACTTAGCTGTTTTTTTATTTGTTTCAAATAGAAAATTTAAAATTTTTGACAATATAATTCTCTTTTGTGGCATCAATTCGAATTTGTTGGTATATCAGCAGGTCAAAAAATGTATTTGAAAACTCTAAACTAAAACTAAGCTTATACTATTTTTTCAATATTTATATATGTATATTATTATATTATTTGGGTATATATTGTATTTATAAAATTTTATGAAGAACTAATGGGAAATTTAAAAAAGAATTGGTCATTTTAGATTTTTTTATAGTTATTATATACAAGCAATTCAAAGTCGATTTTAAAACGTCTCAAATTTTTCGACCACCACTTTTATATTTTTGCGGAATCATGGAGAAAAAGTATAAATTTCAAACATCAATAAGTCCATGACTTCTTTAACTTCCCTCGTAGCCATATGAAAGAAATGCAACATTGCTACCAACAATCATATTTAAGTCGATTACTGTTAAATTTTAACACAGTTCCGTCATTGTGGAATTGATATATACTCTTCTTCTCAATACAAGGTAAAAAGAATACGTATTATACTCATTACTATTCTAACTCCACCATAAGCAATTTGGTAATTTAAAACTCCTCGGAATCTTAAATACCCTCAGTTTTTGTTATTATTGCCCCATTGGTGCAGTTCAAGGGAGCCTCCTTAGGCGACGAATTCGACGATATTTGAGTGGGTGTGGTTGGTGGCGACAATTGGCTAGCTGTATGCATTTGTTGTTGTTGCTGCTGTTGTTGTTGATGCGTCTGATGCGAACTTTGATGCGATTGATATGTTGTTGGTGGCGTTGTGGTGCTATGACTCGAAGGCGGCGATGTCGATGACGACTGATGATGATCCATCAGCGATGGCATCATATTGGCCACCAGACCATTCATGGTGCTCTGAGTCATATCCTGGGCTTCGTTCTTTAGTCGGACATTTGCCGCAGCTACAGCTGCAGCATGATGATGCTGGGCATGGGCATTGCTAAGAGAGCTGTGATGGAATGAGAGCGGTGGTAAGTGAAGTCCAGGGAATGCTAGACCGGCAGCTGCAGCGGCGTGTAAAGATTGCAGTAAGGCAGCCGAATGCTCTTGGGCTTTGCGTCGCAATTCGGCCACCGAAGATGAGCGTGGATCACAATTGCTATGGGCCGAATGGGGTGGTGATTCGGGAGAGCTGTTCGTTGAAGAGCAAGAGACGTTTATGGAGCTTCCGGGAGCACCGGATCCTGTGTGATGCGGTTTTAGGGGACAGCAGGCGCAGAGGCCGGGGAATGAGGGGACGCCTGGAAAGAAAAAAAATACACAACAAAATTAAAGATTAATTAATTACATAATTTTGGATATATAAAGAGGCAGCTTTTCAATTATTAACATTTGTGAAAAAAAAAAATTAAAAAAGTTCGGTTATTGAAATTTGTAACAATATATTCTAACTATGCCAAGAACTACTTTTAAGTTTGGGTATATAAGGAAAATTTCAAGTCCAAATCTGACTTTTGGTATGACTAGCATTTAGATTTTTCATAAATCCTCATATGCGTAATATGCACTCAGCAACAATTATATATGGTACCAGATATCAGACACAGCTCAGAAATAAGTGCCTAAAATTTTGTCAAGATCGGTTCAGATTTAGACATAGCTCCACATATATCTTTATCCGATTTCAGGTTAATTGTGCACCAAATAGCCAATATCAGTTCAAATGACCTGAATTTTGGCATATCCGACCGAATTCAATCTAGAAGCAAGTACAGTAAATTTGAAAAATCCGCTCAAATATAGCTATAGCTCCCATGTATATGTTTCATCAGATTAGGTGTTAAAGTCCCTCACACTCACTCCACAACAAGGATATTTGATATCGGACATAAGTTACAGCTCGAAAATACCTCTGCCAAATTTTATCGAGATCGATTCAGATTTTTATATACCCTCGATTTGAAGGTTATTGTTCACCATACATGTAATATCAGCCTAAATCTGATACATATTTTCATATTCACTTTTATATTTTTATATAATCCTTATCGAAGTCATATCATGCACTATACAGCAATGCTATTTGGTACAAAAGCCTCCGTCAAATTTGTTGAAAATCGATTCAGAGTTGGATATAATTCCCAAATTGTGACTCTAAAGCCATGATACGCATAGTCGGCCGCCCGACATTCGACCATTCCTGTTTACTGTTTTTATACCCTGAGCCATATGGCTAGAGAGGGTATATATCATTTGATACGGTCAAAAGGTGCCTAGACGAAATGAAGGTTTTAGACCCTAGGTCTCTTTAGACCAAATCCGTTTCAGGACATTTGGAGTCGATCTAGCGCTGTCTGTCTGGCTGGCTAGTGCGCAAGATAACTCTCGAAGGGCGTATGCGAACTTGGTACATCGTAATACTTAGATCGAGTTCGGAGATGGGCAATATCGGTCCACTCCTTCTGGTACCTCCTCCACAAAGGATCGCAATTTTCAAAAAATATATTTTCTGCACAGAAAGAGAAACGATTATTCGATTTTGCTCCAACTTGGCAAATCTTAATATTTGCGTCTGTGCAATGTCAGGTGCGAAAATGGACAACATCGGCCCATTCCTTCTAGTACCTCCCCCCAAAAGGTCGAAATATTGAATATCCACGAAGCTCATAAAACGCGAAAGTAACATTCGATTCCATTTAGAATTGGCCCATCTGAATATTTCCATTAACAAAAGATCTGTTGTAAAGATGATAGAGATCGGACCATTTCATCTGGTACCACCCCCACGAAAGCTTAACGTTTTGAATAACCAAACTCCGAAATAAGCACCAGGTTCTCTTTATATTTTACACATTCCATTATTTTTACTAACACAAGATCTGCTGTGAAAATGGGATATATCGATCCACTCCTTCTGGTACCTCCCCCACAAAGGGTCAAAATTTTGAATATCCATGAAGCTCATATAACGCGAAATTAACATCCGATTCCATTCAGGTTTGGTACATCTCAATATTTCCATCAAAACAAGAACTGTTGTAAAGATGGTAAAGATCGGACCATTTCTTCTGGTACCCCCCTATAAAGGTTCAACATTTTGAATAACCAAAACGATTATAAAATCCGAAATAAGCATACGGTTCTCTTCATTTTTGACACATACCGTTAGTTCTACTAATACAACATCTGTTGTGAAGATGATAATATCTGCGAACTCTTCTGGTACCTCACCCACAAAGGCTCACAATTTTCAATAACTTGCGAAACAAGTCAGCGATTCTATATCTAAATACTTCTATCAACCAGAAACCTGATATGAACATGGAATTTATCGGAATTTATGATTTCGCATAAAATTGGATATAAATATTCGATTTTCTTGTAATGTTGCCCATACCAATATTTTTTTCTGTACGCACATTTTAACATTTTCTACAAATTATTATATATCTCATATCAAGTGAAGGAAGTGACCAAAATAGTCCAAACCTGCCACGTGGCCAAAATAGTCCAAACCCTGCCTTATTAGGGTACTCCTTAAGACGGTTCATTTAAGAGGAGTTATGGTGTTCAAAATATTTCAACCGTCACACATTTCAATACCAAAAGGACTGGGTATAGTTGTGGAAATAGGTTGCCATTTTTGCAAGGAATTCGAGGAATATATATCAATTAAAATTCATTCTATAATGCTCGGGAACATTATGGAAGGGCTTATCCAAAATTTAGATTTTTCCGGTAACAACATTCACTTCTTGTTTCATTCCAACTGACATTAACCCTTTCAGTGTTTTTGTCAAATATATTTGACATTTAAAAGTACTCTCTTTCTTTGCCATTTTTTGTTTTTCTTACGAACCGTTATTTTTGATATTTTTTAATAACAGACACGTTCGCTATTTAAAAATATTGCAGTTCTATTCTATTAGTTTCGTTTTCGAATTTCTGAGCACATTTTAGTAAATTAGTACGGAATTTCAGATTTTTATCTCGACAAAAATTTTCATTGACACTGAAAGGGCTTAGAAAAATTCCTACCACATGTTCTTCCGTCTGTCTAGCTAGCTAATTTAACTAAAAGCTTTAAAAATCAAAGGCTGTCAATTAGAATTTGTATCGGCAGCCTGTGCCTGGTTGTTGGGGGGAAGTGGGTTTGGGAAAGCCCTATGCGAGAGAAAAAAAAAGAAATCAATCGATAAAGCTTTTCTTTTGACGACATTAATTGCATTTGATGTCGTGGAAAGTTATCTATCCACTTTGATTGAGTTCGTTTGTCCCTGAGTGTGGTAGACAGACTGCCTCTTTGGCTGACTGGTTGGCTGGCAGGCAGGTTGTTTGTCTATTTCGAAATGCATAACTGATTGACAAATTTTACCAATCTGGGGTTTTCCATCATCCAACCGACGACGATGATGATGCTGCTGCTGATGACGATGATGAAATTTTAATAAAATCATTTTTCCCCTGCCGCTCTTTCCCCCCCATTCCTTTTTCTTCTATCATCCAAAAAGGCTGCATGTTGTGCCTAGTTGTTAGTCCTTGTTAGAGGGATTTTTTTTGGCTTATATCCGTTCTACATGTCGTTTGTTCTAGTGGTCTGTATGTAAGTCGGGGTGTGTGTGCGTTTGTTGGTTGAAATGAAAAATCAAAACCATATCAAATTTCCATAGAACAACAATTATTACCTTTCAAACCGGGAAACAGTGGCTGCTGTGAAAATTGAGAGCTCAACGAGGCCAAATGTGGTGGCAAGAACAGCGATGGAGCATGATTGGCCCGTGCTGCGGCGGCGGCAGCGGCTGCTGCTGAGGCACTGCTGGCAAGGGATGTTGGTGGTGGCGGTACTTCATTTAAAACCGGTCGGAAACCACAATTACTGGAAAAAAGGAGAGAGAAAAAAATGAAATGATTTAAGTAAACCTTTTAAGTGTAGCATGTGTAGCTTTTTATACCCTACATCACAAGGTGGTCTGGGTATTATTCTTTGTGCATTTGTTTGTAACAGGCAAAAGGAAACGAGATAGACCCATAGTTCCTTTTGATGATCTGCATAGAATCACATTCTGAGTTGATTTATGCATGTCCGTCCATCCGTCTGTCCATGTATTTTTGTGAAAGAAGTACAGTTCGCATTTATTACCCGATCCAAATGAAATTTTGCACAGATCATTTGTTTGGCCCAAGGACGAACCCTATTGAAATTGGAGATAATCGGTAATAATTTAGATATAGCTCCCATATATATCTTCGTCCGATTTGCCTTTTATTGTGCACCAAACGTGTAATATCAGCCCGTATAGTATGAAATGTTGCACATACAACCAAATTAGGCCTGCAAATAAGTATGTCAAATTTGATCGAAATCGGTTTAGATATAGCTATAGCTCCCATATATATTGTTCATCCGATTTGTTATTTTTGTCCTCCGCAGCCGTTATATTCACTCCGTAACAGCAATATTTGGGGAAATATATTAAATACATCTCAGAATCACCTTTGCTAAATTTTATCGAGATCGGTCCGGATTTGGATATATCTCCCACATATAAAATCGTCCGATTTACCTTTTATTGTGCACCAAACGTCTAATTTTTGCCCAAATGGGATAAAATTTCGCACTTAAGACCGAATTGAGTCTAGAAGCTAGTATGTCAAATTTGGTGAAGATCGGTTCAGATATAGCTATAGCTCCCATATATATTGTTCATCCGATTTGTTGTAATTGTTACCCACAGCCGTAATATGCACTCCGTAACAACGATATTCAGGGTAATACAGCTCAGAAATATCTTTGCCAAATTTAATCAAGATCGGTCCGGATATAGCTCCCATATATATCAAATGGGCAATACAAGTCCGAACTTAAAAGATACAAATGCTTCGGCATATTTAGTCTTTTGAACTTTACTTTTTACTTTACTGGTTTGAATTTTAAAAATGCAGGAGGAATATTATTTTATTTTCAAATATAAACTCACACAACCCATACCAAATATCAATTTTGAGGCCAATCAAAAAAGTTCAAATTTTGCAAAAAAAGTGTACGATTTTTAGATTCCGGTGATGGGTCATATTTGAGAAAATATTCTCAAATTAAATAAATCTTCCCCGTATCGTTCCTCTTCATAACTTTATTAAAAAATTTCGAGAATTAATTAAATTTTGATTTTCAATAATTGAATGAAAAAATACAAATCACCAAACTCTTTTCAATGAATTCCATTCCTCCTGTGTCCCTCCCCTTTCTTCATCATTGCATAATTTCCCAAATAGGCCTAAATAATTCCATTAAAACTCTGTAATTCATCCATCATCTTCATTGATTTGCGCTTGAGAATATTTTCTTTTCTATCTGTTAATGGATATTACAACAGCTCATAACCCGCATAAAGCAACAACACAAACAACAATAACTTTTTCCATTGTTTCACATTTTTTATTTAAAAAATACTGAAAATAAAAAAACCCAATCCAAATCGTGTCAATTATAATGTTTCCAATTAAACAATTAAAGACACCCGTTCTTGTGAATTGGAAACTGGGCAGCAGGGTTTTGCATGCAAAGCAAACATTATGAAAAAACAACAACAGCAAGGAGAGGGGGATCCTTCTTACCACCATGTATGGATGATGGTAATCCCATATCATAGTTTTTTTGTTGTTATTATTTTTTGTTGCTATAATATGCTGCAATGGGGAGCTGTGTAGTTCAGCATTTCCCTTTGCAAGCCAAGCTGTTGGGTGTTCACTTCACTTTGGTTCGCTTTCAGTGTGACATGCCTCCCATAAATATCATTTGTCGCTCTGGTTCGGTCGTCCAAGTCGTTTTGTGTGTCTCTTAATTAATTCTTAATTGAAGAGAATTAAAATATTTTTACTGTCTAATTGTATTTATTAATAAACATATCGTTCATCGGTCATGCATAATCATTCTGTTGGGGGGACTATGGTGACGATGATGCTATGAAGCAACTCTTGTTCTTTTACATGATGGCAAGTGGCGTAGTAATAAAGAACTGAGTGAAAGGGGGAGTAATTGTGAAAAACCACGCCCTAGCCCGTTCAAGCCCTTTTGGCATTTTAAAAAAAAAATCTTTAAAGTTCGCATTTTCCCGGTATTTAATTACGAAATTTATGTTACTCCTTCAAATTGTTGAATTTAGTTGTTGCAAAATAATCAGGCTTAATCCCATTATTGTTGTTTTTATAAAAACAACGTTTGTTTATTGGTGGAGAAAGACAGCAATGTTACCAGGGGGTAAGGCGGGGAATACCTAGGTTTCGGAAAGAGCCACCAATCCTCATCAGTTCCCTTGTTTTTTGTCCGGGATATTCCCCCCAGAAGTTATTTTAAAAATAACTACTAGACAAAATCTGTCTCCACTAACAAACAAAGGGCGTTTTTTTTATAAAAACAACAATAATGGAATTAAGCCTGACTATTAGACAACAACATAATACTACGGTTTACCGAACAAATATGTCAACACTGCTCTATTTTTGAGTTTATGTCCTTAAAGACGCATAAATTTTTTTTTTTTAGATTGAAGGTTCTTTAATAAATCTAAAAGATCCACGAAATAAGGTCTTAAGGATATTAAAAAAATGTTTTAAAAATTAATAATTTAGGTGTTCATTAAAAATTCGATTTAGGACCTTTGCTGTTTGAAGAGATTTTTAAAAATTCACTGAAGAAGGTTAAAAGAATATCGGAAAATAAAAATCAGAATTATAAAAATAAAACACTGATGTTTTCAATTGACCTTAAGCCAACATAAAGTTAATAAAAATTCTTACAAAATAAAGATGTAAGACCCTGAGGCTAGTAAAAAATGTTTAAAAAACCAAATTTGATCCTCCTTAAGGAATTCATTAACAATTCGAATTCAAATACACAGTCTCAAAAAATACCAATCTTTATCCTCTTTGACCTTAGATTAAAAAATTACTATAATCGTCCTATAATAATTTGTTCAAACTCTACTTCAAAGTAAGTTAAAAGCGAATGTTAACCGTTCTGTTCCTACCTCAAATACCCGAATTTTAGAAATCCAGGATATCAGAGAATATGTACCAACCCTCCTACCCGAAAATGTCGATTGTCTCTTCTTTAATATAAATATCATAACACAATTCATCTTAAACTTATGAAGATAGTAACTCTATTAAAGAAAATACTGTTTACAAAAAACTGAGCTCAGCTAGAGTTATTGAAATTCCAAAAAGTGCAAGAACTTACACCGCAACAGAAAGAAAATAGACTCAAAAGAGGTAAAGAGTTTCTTCCCTTGGTTGAAAGTGGTGAACCACTGAATTTGGTTTCTCCGATGAGAAAATATTCGTTGTCCAGCTGTTTGTAAACAAACAAAATTATCGTGTTTACTTGCCAAAGAGGCCAGGTGAAAATGTGCACCTTTGGTTGGCCACCAGAACTCAAACGCCGGCCATGGTGATGGTGTGGGCCGCCATAACAGCCGATGGTCGCTCTCCGTATTAATCGACCGTGGCATCAGAATAAATGCCGAATATTATCGCGAAAATATTATGGAGGGTGTATTAAAGCCTTGGGCATGCAAACATTTTGGCCGCAGACCTTGGACATTTCAACAGGACTCAGCAGCATCGCACTCAGCACGCGCCTCCCAAGAGTGGTTACAAAATGAGGTTCCTCGCTTCATTTCCAGCGCACAATGGCCACCAAAATCTCCGGATACCAATTTGTTGGACTATTGTGTCTGGAGTATTTTGGAAAGCACTAAAAAATACCAAAGTGTCGATCACCTCAAGCAAGCGCTTCGCCGGGAATGGGCCAAAATGCCGCAGAGCAACATTCGGGCAGCGTGTGACGGTTTCATTGGCCATTTGAAGGCCATAATTCGTGCCAAAGGTGACCAATTCGAACAAATCTAAACTTAATCTAAAGTTTGAAACTATTTCCGACATTTTTTGCTCTCTTTCCTACACTTTATACTAAATTTAGTACGATTTGTAACTTTTCGGACATTATATAGCACGCATTTCTAGAAACATCCCATTGTCCCTTTACAAAATTTCATAATTGCACCACTATTCCTAACCTCCATACCGAAGACAGTACTTTTCGTACAATTTAAAGAACGTTTTTTTTTCAAATCCGCCTTTCTATCTAAAAGCTCATAGTGATCCTTTTAGAAAAATTAACAATTTCCTACACTTTATACCCAAACTGTTCGGACACTATATGGAACGCATTTCAAAACCCAAACCATTATCTAAATCCTTCACATTCGTAGCGGATCCTTTTACACAAAAAATCATAATTCCACAGTTATTTGCACACTCTATGCTAAAATTAGTACTTTTCGTGCACCGCACATCCTTACAAAGAGATACGGGGTCATAGTGACCCTCGGATCAAAATATCTACAACTCGAACTCTTTTACTACACATTTCCAAAAACTCCCCATTTCCTAAATCCTTATCACTCTTACTGGATCCTTACCGCTTAATTTGATATCCTTACATCTCCATTTCTACATTCTATACCGGATTTTATACTTATAGTATACTGTACAGTACGCAAAATGCACAACAGTACCAAAACTCACAACTCGAGTTTTTTTAACACTTAGTTCCAAATCTAGTAATATTTAGTAGAATATAGTTCGCATTGCCAAATCTACCTGCTTATCATAGTGATCCTCGTACTTTTCTTATACCAATTGTACACTTTTCAAAAACAACCTCTTTATCTCAACCGTATACCCTTAAAATGACATTATACTAAATTTCAACATTCTACCTTTTCGTTTCACCTAAAATTATACCAAATTTAGTAACATTTAGTTCGATTCGTACACATCACTACGGGTTTTGAAAACCATTTTCCTATATCA